GCGTGTTGTTAAGTTAACCTAAAGAGAAGTAGGACTGACACATTTCCTCCGTGATACTGAATTAGTCTCTTTCTTGCTGATGTGGTTCACAAAGCAGGGTTTTCTTTCTCTCCATGGGCTGTCTCCTGCTTCACACAACTCAACTGTCTTTATTCAGGACCAGCTTTACTCTCATCAAGATGTCTGGTTCCCTAATTTATATGGTTTCAATTAGTGAAAAAAGGATCTAATCCTTTGTGTCATGTGTCGTTTTACTTTTGTGCTGAAATCTCCTCTGACCAGTCCTGCTGTGTCATGGAGAGAGAGTCCTCCCTCGGTTCTAAAGGTCAACAAGTGAGGTGGATTTGATTTCTCTTTACAGCTGAATGAGCAAAATCAAACACCGTGTCGTCATAGCAAATGAATTTTGAGCCGTTTATATGACAGTTATATTGTTAGGAGCTGGGACAGAATTAGTCATTTTATCATGTGTAGTTCATTTGTAGATGTGTGACAGGAACCTTATGTTGGTTGTTTAGTCAAATGGACAAATACACGACTGTGATTTCGCAAATGTTGCCTCTGAAATACAGGAAAAAATTATATATCACCATCATCGTCACTTTAATCCAAATGCTGGTCTGCTTTGGCGTCAGCTGCCACTTCTGTTGAGTTTACAGGGGCCACATATCAGATGTTTGTCTCCTTTTACTCACAGAGCAGAATACCTGCAGCATGTGGGCTGTATCCTTATCATGTAGTCTTCGTTATAGCACCATGTGGGCTCTTTAGAGATTATTGGACATATTGCGATGCTGTGATAACATTTTATCACTATTTTGAGAATGTTGTAGTGGGTTGCACTTAAACATGTGTACACTTATTCACACTGCAAATAGAGAAGAAATGTGTTTTCTTAAAGTTTGGGAAATATGGGTCAACTGAACCTCTTATTTTCTATTTTTCAGTTGTCTGGGAGAATTTAGATTATCCTTGCCCTCAGTGACGGAGAACATGAAAACAATTGATCAAGGCCATCAGGGCTGCCTTTGATTTCTTGTATAAAACTTCCAACCAAAAATGTATTGAATCCCATTGTAGTCAATTTGCACCAATGTAACATACCACCACAGATTAAAAAACTAGGGTTAAGGAGATTTAGATGTTGTTTGTCTAAACTCTATGATTCTCTTATTGCACCGTAATGCAACAACTGAAGGACCATTTCATGTAAATCATCCGTCAGATCACCTTTGTTTGACCAGTAAACAAGCCCAGTTGGTAGTTGACCATTTTAATCAAGAATGAAAATAACCAGTGAGCAGATAGGCTGCGTGTTCAAAATAAGATTAAACCACATTTGAACAGCTGTATGTGACCCAGCTGAGGTCCTGGGTAACTCAGTTTGTAGAATGTAGAAAAGGCTTAAGGGTTTTAATTCCACTAGGGCAATTGAGGTGACAGCTTTCACCAAGTAAATGTTCATATCCCTGTGCTTTTTAACTCCTATGGATTTATGATCAACCAACTTCCATTTAAGTGTTAACATTTATCAAAATATATTGTATACGTACGTACTGGAAATGTAACACGAAATGGAGTATGCATCACACAATGAATTCTACTGTTACAACCCTCCCAGAATCTTTGGTGTGTATTTGAGAACCATCAATAAAACCAACCCCTCAGCTTGGTTCAGTCTAGCTTTGGAAAGAGTGCTGGTTCAGCAGCAGTTTATCAATATCTAGAGTTTCAACGTTGAGCACTGCCAGTGTTTCACTGAAGCTTCCTCTCCTTTTCTTCTAGTCTTGATGCATTTTTCTCTTGTAAGATTAAAAATATTTTGTCCACCTCCTATTTTCCATTGTGTTTGTTAGAAAGTCTGATTCTGGTTCTCTCTTGCTTTCTTCCTCTGCTCATTATCTAAACTCAGGAAGGTTGGACATGCTCCAAGGTCAGAGCTGTGAGGCAATGGCCCAGATTTACATTTTGCCAGGGCCCCTCCTTTTCTTATCCTCTGTCAGCACTTTCACAAGTTCACTCTCTCTGCAGACTTGAATTTCAAGAATAGAAGGACGCAGCCATGTTCATGTAGTTAAAAAACCTGAGCGATGGATTGATAAAGGATTGAGTTCCCAAGCTAATCTCTTCCCAGTGAAAGACAGCTGAATGTGTCTGACCTTTTCCCAGTCACCCATCCTGTTATTGACTTATTTAAATGCACTTACTCCTGAGAGCTGCAGCCTCAAGGACAAAGCTACAGGTATTTTATTTTAGTGTATAAAAAATACAGCCAATTAGTAATGTTGGCGAGCCAGTGACTGTGTGACTTGTTGTAGTCATTGCATTTGTAACTGCAAAATGTCCTGTGCATAAATAGAAAAATACAAGAACAAGCTAAATCCTCTTGAAGTCCGACATTACAGGCTTTCAGAGGAAGTCGTCAAAGAAATGGACTTTGCCTGTAGCAACTGACAAAGGCAAACAGTGCTCGTAACATGCTCTTTAGCTTTTGACCGGGGTTGATGTCTGTGAGGGGAAAAAAAAGAAAGAAGCTCTTAATTGCTTTTGACCCTGTTTCTGGCCTCCTCGTCTTCATTTCATTCTGCTGTGTTTAGTTTGAGAGTAAAGCCTCATGAAAATGGACAGTACAGTGTTTCAGCAATGTGAAGCTGCTCCCATGTTGCAAGCTTTTTTTCATAGAATGGGTAATTTTGGATTATACAATACAGAATGTATTTTAAAAAATCTGTTATGTGGCTTTCAAAGTGTAGGTTTGTATGAATCAAATGAAGCTCACAGTACAGCCTAGAGGTGGTGTGGGTTTAGTGTGAAGGGGGGTGGATCTTAACATATTTGGCTGAATTAGGATCATGTTAGTTTTTCAGACTGAACAGTGTGGTTTTGGTATCCACTTAATCCAGTTTGCTGAAAGATGGAATCGCCCCCTGTACTTGATTTTCTGGTTAGTACACTTCCTGGTTGTTTAGCCAGTAACTGAATATCATAGATATCTTTCAACCACAGTAAGAATAAACCAGCCATCTAGCTCTGATATCAGGATTAGCAGTGGAGGAGCTGTTCTGATGATATTGAGGGTTTGGTGACTTAGTCATGGATTTAAGAAAGCCAGATTCCTGGTCGCACTGAGACTGTTATGCAGCCAGATAATTGGTTCGTCTCCAATAAGCACTCTACCTCTTGAGATTTCAGCGAAGATATTGCAGTTTCTAAGGACAGACAACATACAGTGCTTTATCTTACTCACTGCTTACTTAGTTAAATCACTTGTTTTCTATTGCAGGAGTGTATTCAAAGGCTTATTCAGTGTTGTGTCTTGTTGATGAAGCACAACTGTAAAATACAAATGCAATAAACAAAACCAAGCACTTTTTTTGATTCTCAAATCTTTGGATGTAGTTGTTCAGTACTTAAAACACATTGAGAGAAAATATATAACTGTTGTATAAATCTGTTCTCTACATACAGCAGAAGCTTTCTCTAAATCCCCTCATCCCTTATTGAAAACACATCTCAGTCTGTCTCTTGTTTTTCCCTGACAGTGGCCAGATGTTGGCAGCTGTCAGTCTGATACCATATGGAAGAACAAACAGCTGGAGGGGGTTTGGGGAACACCGTCTGCTGCTACTGCGGGGTGTCTTTCTTAATCCCCACCACTACCACCACCACCACCACACACACACACAGACACACACACTGTGCTGTTTATTTTGTCAGTTTTCCATTGAATGAAGAAAATAACATTCAAGCTTAAAACTAATATTCCTATATACAGAGATTTACCCTGAGAGCAGGAGGATAACAGCCTAAAATCTTATTATAATTTCTACCAGAAACAAATACAAGTGCTCCAGTGGCACCAGTATGTCTAGGCCTTTTCAATGTTTCTATTGTTGCCTTTCTGCGGATTATTACCGCTAAACTGTTTTAAATGTGGAACATGCATCTGAGCTGTGTGACATACTTGTGTGACAGACCACTGCTTTTCTCTTGTCTATCCTTTATTGGCTTATTTCTGAGTCCGGTGAGAGTTTTGAAAACAATCTACCAAAGTGTTATGGTGACAAGGTGCATTTGAGTTCAGTCTGTTCAGCTGGTGTGTCCTTACCTCTAAACAGTATCATAAGTAGTGGTTACATTTGTCTTGTTTATTACCTGTTTGCTTCCTTTTAAGTTAACAGTGTTAAAAAGATTTTCATCAGCCACTTAATGATTGGATACCAGACTGAAGTAAGGTCACAGTAACACGCTGAACGCTGTAGGGATTAGTTCAAGGAGGCTGTGCTGGGAGGAGGTCTTTGAGTTTCTTCTTCGCCTGTCATGGCACCATGAAGCTCGTAGGCTGTTGATCCTGTGGAGAGCCAAGCTGTGCTTTGTCAGGTTTTTAAGGGCACAATGCCAGACCTGACTCCAGCCCTGCGGCATTACCCAAAATGGCAGCTCTCAGTGTGGCTGCCTCTAATGGAGTGTGTGTCTGCATGTGCTTGTCTCAGTACTTCACAAGTATATACTGTTAAATATTACAGCTGTAGTTTTCAGAGGATGTAATTGTAGAATATGTGGACGCTGGTGAAGCTCAATTGTTGCGTTTAACTGTAAGTGTCTCTTGTATTTAAAAAATGATTGACATGCAACAAGTGTTCCTGATAAGAGTGTGATCAAAAATATAGATATAATTATATTATAAGATATAATTGTGCTGCTTTTATACTATATATACATGTGCTGTTACCTTAGCTAGAGCAGTGTAGAGTAATATTTTGTTTTATTCATTCATTATCTGATAAGTTTGTATTTTATGACAGATGATAATGGGAAAATGATAATGTGGCAAAGATGGTGAATCATATTGGCACAGAGGTCTTCAAACAATGATTCCCCTCCTGTGTATCTTTTGTCTCTGTTTTAATTAAGCATGTCAATATGTCTCCATGTCAGTGGAGTTGATAGCATTGACTTGTCGTAACATTTCATTTCAATCTTTTTTTCTGTCCCCACAGAGCCACCATAGAGGAAGTAGAGGGGGATGTGTGTGAGTTGGAATCCAAGCTGGACAAAGTGAGTACCACCCATGAAAAACATTGGTTAATTGTTCATTTGTTCTACTGTGTGAACTGGCAGCTACAGAGGCCATCCTGCACGTGGAAAAATGTTGGCTTGTCTCTGGCCTTGTCCTCCTTTACATCCTCTGACAGATTGAGTAAGACTTTAATATAGACACTGTCACTGTGTGAAATATCCAGTGGCAATTGGGGGGGTCCTCCCTTATCTAGTGCTCCAGTGTTATGATGAAGCGAGCGTAGGTGAGCGGGAGAGTGAGGACATGTGGCCTAGTGGAAACCCTGCCTGCCTAATACTGGACATATTACTCTTTTAATATACCTTTTGATGTCAATTATTTCTAAAATATTTTTTAATTTGACTCAAACTTTTAAAAATTGGAAAATTACAAGTGAGTAAACTGCCATAAAAAGTTTCATAAACACAATTTTGTCTTTAATAATATACATAAACAATGTTAACATGCGTTTACTCCCCACTACAGCCCTGGTGGTGATCGGGTAGCTTTGGCTTTATCTATCTGTATATATAGTCTATGGTTGAAACTGTGATGGTAAAACAAGAATGGATATTCTTTTACCTTACAGTAAACTAAAGATGATGATTTTTCATTCTCCTTGTCATGGTTTTCTGCATCTCAGTGTGATTTGCTGAATATGAGCACTGCTTGACCTTTAAAGTAAAGGCTACACAGTAATCCATGCTTTTTAATGACAATACATTTTTGCCTTTGGGGGTTATTTCCTTTAGCTGGTTCAGTTTGCAGTCACATTCATAGTGTGCAACATCACAGTTCATTTTACCCATTCAGCTCAAATTAACTTGCCCAAAGTAATAAAACAGCCAAATAATCTAGTGTTAAGCCTTACAAGTATCGAACTCTGCTGGGGAAAGAACTCCTCCTAACAATTGATTTCTGCATTGCCAAGAGCATGTTCACTAGCTGAGAACGAGGCCTCGAGCTTAGAAGAGCAGCATATTGTTCCTGGTTTTACAGAGTCCCACCCTCCACATCACCCCACCTCTGTGACTCAGCCCAAGCCATACTTCCTCTTTTTCTCCACAGAAGAACTGTCAGGAGTGTGTGTGTCTATGTATAAGTATGGTTGCTGGTGTGTGTGCTCATGATGTGTCGATGGGTGGGGTCGAGTGATCATTGACCAGAGTTCAACTTTTCTATGTTCCACACATGCACACACAGCCATATTGAATCAAATGTAAACGTACTTTAACTGTATTGATATGCTTCAGTTGCTGGAATAAGTTTTCTTGAAGGAGAGACAAGGACTTTTTCAGTTTTATTTCTTATTTGCATGTTGATCACTTCCTAATAATTGAAGGAAACTGCTTACAGTTCAAATTTTTTGTTGACTTATTCAACAACTTTGTCTGCATGGGCACGATGTGTCTGTGTCATCATCTCCTGTGTGGAGTCGGTGGAGAAAGGCCAGAGTTTGTTGTTAATTTAAGTTACCTGGAAATATCTCTGCTGTCAGAAGGGATAGAAGTATCTTTTATATATTACCAACAAACTAATTAAGCATCATGTTAATGCTCCATACTTCCACCAAAGACGATAAATCCCTGATTTAATGAACCAGCACTGTTTCTAAAGTGTCTTCACAGAAGCTTTATCATCTTTTTTTTGTTTCTGTCCATAACTAGATCTCTGTATTTCTTTATCCTCCTTTTAAGTGTTTATCTCTTTGTCTTTCTCTCTCTAGTTGGTGAAGTTGTGTATTGGGATGATCGATGCTGGAAAAGCCTACAACGCAGCCAACAAACAGTTTGTAAATGGGATCCGAGAATTAGCCCAGTCATCCACCAGAGATGAAGTCATCGAGGTAAACAATAAAAAAACCCTGTCTTGATCTCAAGCAGAGAAATATTATTACATTTCTTTTTGAGTGCGTAGGTGCTGGCCTCTTTTAACATGTTTTACGCATTAAAAAAAAGTTTGAATTAGTACAGTTTAAAAACTTGCTATGAGCATCATGTACTTCCTCTCTGTTTAAATGCTATACCTTGTTTGCTGTCTGGAGTAATACGCATTCGTCCTTGGTAACATTTGTCCTATAAAATGTCTGCACCGTCCTTTGGGTCTTGCCAAGCACAGATGTTTTGTTTTGTTTTCTCACATGAATTTTGAACGGCGAGGCCAGCACTTCCTCTCTGTCTTTGTGTACAGGGCTCACTGCCTTTCCCTGGGGTTTGAACTCTGGCCATTGCGTGTATTTGGAGTTAGTAGCCCAGCCAAAAATTCTTTCCCCAATTACCATTCTGTCTCCAAAAAAACACAAAAAAAACAGTTTGCATTTAGCCATACCGATCTGACAGAGTGTGTGTCTGTGCAGTCTAAGATAGATTTGCATTTCATTCCATTTGTGGTTTGGGCAGCCTTCTTTTTATTGTTTGCCCTGTGCAGTTTATTTTTATTTCATTGTTGTATTCTTATCTGTCAGGGGTAAGAATACACACTTGACAGTCTCTCTCTGTCTCTGTCTGCCGTCATGACTGTCCTCTTCTCTCCACAGTCCAGTCTCACAAAGTTTGCAGAGAGCCTGCAGGAGATGATCAACTATCACACGGTATGCTATCACTGCCATGTGAAATTGGATGTATGATCATTACTTTTTTGCCCTGCTCAACAGCTGCGTGATGACAAAACTCAGTCTGGGACAGCTATTTAACTGTCAAGAGTTTTATTTACTGCTGGGAAGAACGGATGTAGACTACAAGAAAATCTGTTTGTGAATGTAGGGCCACTCGTTAGAGGAAGGGAAGCAGAGAGAGTCCAATGACCATAATACATTTAAAGTTCAGCTGCTTTCATTGGGGCTATTTCGAAGTTGAGGAACTTGAAAAATTTGAAGCAGAATGCTGCTGAAAATGTGTCTGGTTGCAGAAGCAAACACTGCCCTCCATAAAAAGTGGTTAACAGAAAAAGCTTTGGGTCAGATGCAAGAAAAAACAATTTTTTTCTTTAACCATGACTTAAATGTCAACATAGCGCTGCAATTTTTTTGTCACTTAAGAAAAAAACAAACCTTCCTCAGGCATGTAAAGTCAACATTGAAGCGAGAGGAGTCTGTGTTGTAAAATCAGTCTGCTGCCTTGCATGTTTAGTGTTTATCTGTTGAAATAAATCATGTGTTCCTGAAGTAAACACGGTCAACACAGTCAACTTTTTACAATGTGGTTGTTATCATAGAGACAACAGAAATACAAAAAAAACATTGTAGGCTTAATATAGGTTTACTGTCCAGCCACTAGATGTCAGATAATAAATAAAGATTACACCTTATCCCTTGTTTTGATTATCATTTATTTGATTTATCCCCCATTAAAGCCTTTGAGGAGCCCAGTAACAGATCTGATTAAGTGATTAAGTAATGTGATAGACATGACACTGACATTTAAAAACGGAGACACAACTTTCCTCTGCTTGTCTCCTCATTAAGATACCTTTAAGCACAGAGAGGAGACGCAGGGTGAGCTGGACCCATTTGCTCCATGCCGACAGCTCCTCTCTTGATCTCCCTCTTGTCATGTCTTGTTTATATTAACATGTTCAGAGTGAGTTTCCAGTCTGCGTAACACTGTCATGTGACATCTGTGACGTGTGACATATTTTTAGATCAACATCGTGACTGTGGATGATGAACAGTTAAACACTGCTCTAGGCTTTATTTGTGGACAATAAAGACAAAGTAATAACATAATTGAAGGGTCTGTGTGATTGTAATGTCATTCAACATTATAGACACTTTTAAATCTGATACCAACCTAAAATGAGGACTAAGATTATGATCTCTGTTTATAATCCTTACAAATATATTGTTTTAATGAAAGGTTTTGGCCAGATTTGGTTTGGGGTTTAGTCTGGATTTGTTCAGGTGTGTTTTAATTTGCTTTTTTTGCAGGCAGTCTATTAAACCAGGGTCTTTCCTCATCAGTCATTTTATAAGTTTCCTCAATTCGTCCCCTAAAAGCCTCCAAGAGCCACAGTGCGTGAGACTGCGACTCAACAATGCAGACTGTGGTCACATCAGCTGACTGTCAGATAGTTCTTTTTCTTTTCTTTTTTTTTCTTTTTTTTACTTGTCAGCAACCTTCAGCACATGATCCACTCAAACACAGAGCTCAATCTGTTTTTCAGTGGTGGTGTCTCATCACAGCTACACTAGTCATCTTGTCCTGTCCAGCCACGAAATCCCAAGTTTTTGTCTGGCCTTTTTTTTTGCGAGGGAGCTCATTTTTAAGAAAGCATTTGCGTTAATGGGGATATAACTCGCAACCAAGAGTATACGAATAACATATCTCTTGTTAATATCTTTATGAGGGAAGTTTACAGAGTCAGCTTGTTGGTTTAATTTAGCAACATAATTACACACTGTGATGTTCACAAAATGCCGCATAAACACAGTTGCTGACTTACTGAACTGAATATTGGCTAGTTATTGCTTTTTTTAAGTTGTAGCCTTAAGATGTTTTAATGATTGAATTATTCAAATAACAAAGGAGAAGTTTTTTTTTTCCAAAACCAAGAGCAGCATTGACACTTTTCCTTCTCTCGTCGCAGATATTATTTGATCAAGCCCAGAGATCAATCAAGACCCAGCTTCAAACCTTTGTCAAAGAGTGAGTACAAAGTGCTGTAATAATAAATCAATAATGGTGTTTGTTTTAAAGCATTCAGAGGTTTTTAAGAATGACCTAAATATACAGTTTAGTTTCATCTGTGAGAACAAGGCAGAGCACATTAATATGGAGGGATTCATTTCACTTGTAAATCAATTCAAAATGTACTGGACGAACATCAAACACCTGCATTTCAAATCCAGGTTACTATAGATGTGGAAAGCCTTCTGTTAAAGTTATGAATATGAAGAAGAAGCTTGAGGGATGTCTCATATCTGATGTGCAATGGATTTAGACAGAGCATGTAATTATATTACACTAAGATAATCACAAAATTGAAAAATTTGATTTGATATGATTTGTGACTGTCCACAGTTACATTTTCAAATCTACTGTGGCCCTCACTTTTCTTCCAATGATACAGCTCTAATTACTACACTTAAATAAGTGCAGGAAGCAATGGAGGCCTCTGATGTATTTCATTATAAGGATTAGCAGTTTTTTTTATTGGCACAACAGCGCTAAACACCCACATCAGCCGCAGCCATACTTCCCTCACAACTATTCACTACCTTGCATTACTCAGAAGTGACTTAATATCACTTGGGCAAAATACAACAAACAATTAATGTGGATCTAAATGCTCGAGGATTCTTATTTTATCCTCCTCAAAATGACACAGTCACTTGGTCACTTGCACATATGCAGCAGCTTTCCAGTCACAAGAGCGGGGTCAAGAAGTTTCACCAAATCATTTAGTTCCTCCCACACAATTTAAAATGTCCACTTATAATACCAATACACCTTTTTCCTCTTTGCCAGTGACCTGCGTAAGTTTAAAGAAGCCAAGAAGCAGTTTGATAAAGTGAGCGAGGAAAAGGAGGCAGCACTGATAAAGAACGCCCAGGCGCCCCGCAACAAGCAGCATGAAGTGGAAGAGGCCACCAACATCCTCACTGCCACACGCAAGTGCTTCCGACACATCGTCCTCGACTACGTCTTACAGGTGGGAAACAAAAATATAATAATAATCTGTTTCTCTCATATTGATAATCATCAGTATTTACATTGATTACCATTAATGAGGGAAACTCATTCAAAAGGTTTGTTTGATACACAGTGTTCTCTGTTAAGTGAAACTGAATGTTAACAGTTAAATCTCCCTTTGTACAAATACAACAGATAACTGTGGTTTTAACTACAGCTGACATGCTGCTGTACAGAATCAGTGGCTTTGTGACAGATTTCAAGTAGCAGCTGAAAGTTAAACTTATAGAAAAGTGGTTTCCATTCTATTATGGTAGATGAGGTCATAATGGAATTTCTTTTAATTTGGAGTTATTCCACATCTTGAAGCCATTAACAATACACTGCATTCTCTACAGTTATAATGACTCAATATATATATATATAAAAAAGGGAGTTTTTTCTCTCCTGTGTCACCAAGTGCATTCTCATTGTGGGGATTTCTGGATTTCTTTATCATTTTACAGTCTAGACATTACTCTGTAAAGAGTCCTGAGATAATATATGTTGTAATTTGGTTTTATACAAAGAAAAATTGAATTAAACTGAATTGAGTAAATTGCTGACATGCAGCTTTTAACATGCAGGCTTAGGACAAAAAGCTGATCTATACACTCATAGTCAACATTTGGATGTGGAAGATAATATGCTGAGTCAGGTTAAAAATGCTGACTTGTTACAGTCAAGAGTGAACCACAGCTGTGTTTGATTGTGTTACATTCAAGTTCATCCACCTGTCACGTTCCAGTTTACCACAGCAGGGTGGATTCAACCCAAACATGTCAGCTGAACACAAACAGTTGGTTAGTTAGTTAGTTAGTTAGATAGTTAGATTAGGAAACAAACACATTAATACTGTATATAAATGGATAAAATGCTGCAGACTTCTGTCTATTACTGAAGCGTTTAAGAAGTTCCTCTCACTGTTGACATTAGGATTCTTTAGGGAAGATAATTTGAGAGCAAGAAGGAGAAGGAAGAAAGGCAGAGGACGCAAACTGCTGGAGGAGGAAATACACAGGAGAATAAGCTTTTTTATTTATTATAAAAAGTCAGGATTTACCATTTAACTAATGAGATAAATACCGTAACAAATGTGTTTCTCCTTTGCCTTGTATTCTTTGTAAATCTGTTTAAATCTGACCTTTGGCTGTGAGAAGTGCTCATGCATCATTGAATACATCAGCTGAGGTATTTGTCCTTCCTCCGGTCACAGTAGCACTGATGAATGTGTGCTGCCTTATCTCATAGGGAAACTGCCCTGTTATTGAATCTGCCTTCAAAGAACAGACAATGCTTCGTGGCCGCAGTTTGCTCCAAAATTAGACCGAACAGAAACCCAAAAGCAGGTTTTTAAAATAGGTCTGGCAGTCTTCTCCACTGTCCCACTACATAATCACTGGCTCATAAAATGAAGCCTGGCTGTGAGAAATTGGTTGAGTTTTTATCTTGCCTCATTAGTGTGCTTATTGGAAATCTCTAAGCCGAGCAGCTAGCACAGCTAATCTATATTGGTCTCTTTTTCACATTTAGGGTTGTGACATCAGCACTTTTACAGTGCAGCTAACTTATGCAGCCATTCTCGCAGGAAGAATTTGAGACTGATTGTAGTTTTATTCTTTTTCTGTTCTTTTTAGATTGTTTACGCTGCATTTTTGCTTAATTATACAGTGCACAGTTTACAGTGACATGCAAGATGGCAGAGGGAGAGAAAAATATATGTGAGGGGTAGTAAGGCAGACTCGCATTCATGACATTTTAAGAATGGAGCGTGTCTGTTTTACCCTGCGGTGCCACGTAGAGCTGGATCATAAAATACTAAACTTTACCCTTCTGGGTTTGTTTCATTGACGGTTATCAAGCCTAGAAATAAAAATAGAATAGAGTAGAGAGCCTTTGTATTGTACAAAATTAAGAGTCCTACTCCCGGTTGGTGCGTAGAAGTAACAAACAATACATTGCACACATTATATCATGCAGTTAAAACAACCTAATATATTCCTGACGGCTAGGGATGTACCTTGCTTGCAAAGGCTCAGCAAAAGAAAACATTCCACACTAGATAACATAAAAGAGCACTGAAGAGAAGAGCAAAGAGCCACTGCACTTGCCATTTTCAGATTTACATTTGATAGATGTACAGTTAATGGAATGAAATGAACAGATAGGACAGCCAGCGGATGTCACCCCTGACATATATAACGGTTCCTAAAATGTAAATACACACAACGAAGAAAATCAGAAACACTGTTACTTCAGATATATGGGTCTCTATAAACCTGAAAATTCCCACTCCTAAATAAGGACTAATTTCAGCCTAAATTTTACCCAAATGTACAAGCGTGGACTTACCACAATTTAACCAATTACCAACGCAATGCTAATAAAACTTTTGTGGCTGTTGTGTTTGTGTGCATTGCCAGTTAAACAACTCTTGTTACACATGCTACTTGACTGTAATCTCTGTAAAGACAAACAGGGGCCTTGTAAAAGTTATGATGCATCGCCCTTGGGATTAGTAGTTGGAAAAGTAACCTTCCTTTCTTAAGTGGGAGTTACATCTGTGTATAAACACAAGTGTGTGGTTAGTGTTGCTAGGGAAAAGGGGCCTTACAACTTCCTGCCAACAAAAATATGGTCAGCCACAACAAGGATTTTGACTTTTAATCTTCATAGGATGAAGTGTTTTGTTCCGTGTTTTGTTCCGAACACAAAAAAAGGAAACCAAATGGTCCTTGTCAACCATGAAACAGAGTGATGAAGTGTAATCATAAGATGCCCTGCTTTTCATAGTGGCTATATGCATCCACCACACCCAGTCATTACCTGTGGTACTGTTATAAGTTCCTGTCTGTCACATAGAATTGGTCTGCATGTCCCACCAGCCATCATTCATCCCTAATTTACAACAGAACAGACGAGCAGCATGTTGGTAATTAGCTCTGGAGAAGAGTCTGACACACACACGCACACATGCCCACACGCACGCACACACGCCCACACACACGCCCACACACATGCACGCACACATGCACACATGCACGCACACATGCACACACACACACACCACACACCACACATACACACACACACAGCTTTCTCTGCTTATGTGTGGGACAATGAATGCATAAGGACAGTGTAGATTTTGAGTGAGAATGGCTACAGAAGCATCCACGGGTCAAACATGAGACATTGGGCTCCCCCTGGTGCCAGGTGTAAGGACTGCTGTCCAGTACTGCAATTATTTTACTTCAGTAAAACTCATTTCACGCTTGTCTGCTTTCTTTCATTTGCATTTTCTCCCCCATTTGTTTCATCCCTCAGTATTTCACCTAATTTTTCCTTTTCTTTTCCACACTTTGTCTGTGAAGATGTCTCTCGGAGGCCACAGTAGGTTCTTTAATGTGAAGCCTTCCTTATTTTCTTCTTTTCAGCAAAGTATGATCAAGGAGCATCAAAGTTTAAAAATGTTTTTTCACTGTTTTGTTTTTTGTTCATTACAGATCAATGTGCTGCAATCCAAGAGAAGATCGGAAATCCTGAAATCAGTAAGTATAATTTGTTAACACATCAAATGACTTAAACATTATTCCCTTTACCTCTTTGAGTAACAGCTGTCTTATCTACAGATGCTGTCCTTCATGTACGCCCACTTGACCTTCTTTCACCAAGGATATGACCTCTTCAGTGAACTACAACCTCTTATGAAACACCTTGGAGGACAGGTACAGACTATAAACACATGTACACTCATGGCCGTAGCTTCCATCCAAAGCATCAGCAGTTCTCAGAAAGAACATTTGGTTAATAAAAACACTAGCACACAAAAAAACGGCATTTTTAACATTAGGTTTTAAATCTTGATGACATTATGGCCTGGGCCAAAATTACCTGAGCTCCCAGATATTCAAGAATAAGCACACAAATGGCTAGAAGCAACTTGCAGAATTAAAATTCTGTGTGCTGTATGTATGGATAGCTCTATCCCCACTAAGTATTTCATTAAATCAAACTTGTTAGTACCGGAGGAGTTTATGTTTTCATTCCTGTTTGTCTGACTTTAAGCAGGATTATCCCAAAACTACAGAACCAATGTAATTGAAACCCTGTTGAATATAGATATGGCATTTTCAGAATAATTCATGGATGTTGTTGAAAAAAATCAGGAACAGTTACTGAACTCATCTACGAGTGTGTGAAAATTGATTCAGCTTGATCAAATTGACTGTTGAGACTTTGCAGTGGTATGTTCTCTATTATAGTTGGTATAACTGAGGTATTACTTCATCAGGGTTGTTTTATATCAAATCTTGTTGTGATGATATAAAAGTTATTCATTTTCTCTATTCTATTAAACGATTATATTTTTTGAGCACATTCCTCAAATTATGGTCAAACTGATTGTATTACATAACATTATATAACTATTGAAAGAGATGTTGTATTACAGTTTTTCTATATCATAAAAAGTTGCTGTCCCTTTCAGTTATTAGGGCAAGTGTAGTTCATTCAGCTTAACATTCAAGTGTCACTTCCTTTTTATTTTAATACTTCCTGTAAAAATACACGATTCTGGTCCCATACAACATTTCCAATGCTGTCAGAACAGACCTAATAAACACTTGCAACACAAGCAAACTTGTGGCTATTTTTAGTGGAGTGGAAGAATAACTGTCAGCTGAGTTTACATACCAGTGTACTGTCATAAGTAAACACGTGTTATTATGTAGACAAGGAGGATATTGTTTCCTTATTTAAACATTTGTTCAAGGCCTCAACTCAAGTTTAGAGGAGTCGTTGTAGGTGATGACTTTTCTTGAAATCCTCCTTAATTGTACATAAGTGATCCTGAGTTTACAGTCACATCATGATGGAGCTCAACTGCACTTTGAACCTTTAGCCTTTACCTCTAGACAACCTCTCTTGTATGTGTGTAGTACTGCTATCTTTTTGTCCACTGATGCTTCAGTTCTGTGTGTGTGTGCATCCTCTGAAAACAAACAGAGCCTTCCTTCTGAGCCAGAGGATGGGCTGAATGTGACTTTAAGATGATTATCGCAGAGGAACTGCTGTTACAGTGAGAAGGGAATGAGGAAGAGAGCAGCCAGGGGTTGGAAAAGGGTTTTCCTGCATTTAGACTCACACTGTTGAGTGTCAGCTGAGCAAACACTGCAAAGAAACCTGAGTTTGATACTGAAGGTTGTGGAATAAATACTGGTCGCTCTGAGGCTGCAGCACCAGAGGAGCTGAATGAGAAGAAGACATTTCTCAAAAATGGCTGCAAGACCAAGGAAGGAGTACAGCCACACGTTCAGGAGTCAAGGGGGAGCTGTTTATAGCTTGTCAACATATTTTTCTGATTTGTAAACCAACGAAACAAAAGTAAATTGTGTTTTTTATTTGACAAAGAGTAAAACAGAGCGTTTTTGAAACCAGATCTGAAGACTGGAGACAGCATCCTCTAAGTTGGATTGGTGGTTTTTAACCCTCGTGCTCTGAAGTTGGAACCATCTGACGTTTGTGCTGTCAATAAATTCACAGACAGAACCAAAGAGTCCTGGGAACAGAGAAGAGACACAGGAACCACTTCAAAAGGAAGATTTTCAGAAGGAATAAGGAGCAGAATGTAATCTTCTCAAAGCACAAAGTGATTGAAGCTGAATGGAAAGGCATGGACTGTAAGCCAGTGGCTTCAGCACTTAAAGACTGGAAAAAGAAAAGCAAGGATTGTGAGAGGGGGGAAAAAGACGAGAAGTGAACAAGACTCGAAAAGGGAGGGAAAGAGGGAGCGATAGAGGGTTGGTTTCAAGCAGATGAACAACCGGAGTATAACTGTGCTGTGTAGCTTATAAGCCTGTCTCACTGAATTTGGAGCTGTATCAAAACTGAAAAGGAAAAAGGACGGCGAGCTGCGGGAAGCAGTGACGTGAAGGATTGTGGATTTTATCTTTACTCTCCATCATGAAGCTGAAGAAGGTGGAGAGGCTGTGCAGGGAGGTGTGGAGGAGCTGTCAGCAGGTCGGATAATATGACTTGATGCCTGTGACCAATAAGTGATCAAGGGTGGAAATAGCCAGCAACAATAACCAGTATTCAGAACCAAGTTAGTTAAAAAGGTGGAAATTTGTATTAAAAAAGTAATAATATATTACAATGAATACGCTGTTTGTCATTACCTAAAAGATCATGTGAAGGGATTCTTTCTCCTTTTTTGCATTTTTTTTTTCTTGACTTGGTTCTGGAGACTTTTTTTTAAAATACTTGGCTGAAATTAAGTACAGCAGAGGCTCTATTCTATAATTTCTCACTAGGTGAAAAGAAACATAGAAGTGAGAGGAGGCTAGTTTTTTAAGGTTCCATTTGAATCTACTTGCATGACAACTTTATGACTCATGTCAAATATGGTACTTTTTCCACCCTTGCTTCTAAATATGAGATATTCTACTGAATGACACAGATGCTCACAGCTGAACATGTGCTGAGGGAATATTTTCATTCAGAGGGATTTTTGTATCTTTTCCGTGAATCATGCGGCCGAGATAGAGCTTCAGCGTGGTGCTGGGGTCTGTAGGTGACAGGCAGGATGAATGAGATATTTGAGGTGAATGTCTCTGCTGGCATCATCAGTGGCGGCTGCACAGTGAGATAGATAAGATGTTAAAGGTACGGTGAGTCCCTGACACAAAGTATGTGGAGAGCTGCACTTACAGACACAAACCTGCCTTTTCAGATATAGACAGAAGCAAATAGACAGCATGGACTCGACTAGTTGTTATGGTGCAACATGGGAAAACATTTCCCATCTGATGTTATCTGCCTGCTGCTTTGCCGTCCACCCATTTCCTCTCTAAACAAAAGACCCAGCTCCATCAAACGCTGTCTTCTCTGAATATATCAGATCGCAGCATTTTCATAAGCATCTTGAGAAAAAATGATGCTGTGACTTTAATGTTAATAAGTAGAAAATGATTTTCCTTGAAACGTTATGCTCCATTACATAGTAAGTCAAATGTTGGTCTCACTTCCCCTATATAATCTTCTACAGTGTTGTCTCTGTTGCCCATTAGTGTGAATTGCCCTCTGGCTTGCAGTTGTGGTTACTGCTGCCTGTGAAACCACCACAGGCGTTAAATGATGAACAAAGATAACGTGTCGTAAACATGCAACACTTTTTTGTACTGATTTATTTTCCTTTCATTCTTGTTGTTTCCATAAATCCCCCTGCACATTATCACATTAACTTGCATCTGCAGCTCTCATTCAGCAGAAGCCCACATCAAATGTTTATGGCCAGGTATATGATATGTACATGCTGATTTGAAAGTAGACAGTATTTCCACTAAAATTAAAGAAGAGAAACCAGTTGATCATACGTGAGATGGTAGTAAAACAAAAGTTACACACTGTCATTATTATTATGAGTAACGTAATTTTAACGTTATATTTTTATGTTTTAGGATGACTTTGTTAAACATGTCCAGGGGCTACAGATGAAAATAGCCCCTTGGTTTACTCTGGCACCTTACAGACACTGAAACTTTGAATCCTACTCAGCCATATTCACTCAGCCCCCCCCCTTTCATTGACCTAAAATCAGATACTGTTCCTTTTGTGTTTGAGGCTTGAGATTCGCTGATTTAGGTCACATTGCAGCACCAGACTACCAAGAGGCAACACAGAAGGATTTCACTGCTGTTAAAGGCAAACGCACATTTTCTCCATCGCCCTGCGACAACATAGAAGCCCTATTTTTATGTATTTCTTTCGTCTCTGCTCAAAGGAGCCTTTGTTTTCCTCTCTTTGCGCAATGCTTACTTCCCAGAGACGAGAAGAATCAATCATCCCCCCATCCAATTTCACACATGATGAAGCCTCTGTGGCTCAGTTCATTTTGTTTAGGAGAGAAAAGTGAAAAGAGAAACTTTTGATAAAATTGGCTGAGTATTAGATTGTTCCTTATCTGCTTTGTCTTGAACTGTGGGGTAAGATAAATAAAAAGAAAGGATCTGGTAGGTACACAGATTTCATCGTCTCTGAGTGAAACGTGTGTGAGACCAGGCGGTGTGGTACGGTTGACTAATCAGTTCTGTCTCTTGCAGTTGGACCAGCTGGTGGTGGATGCTGCCAAAGAGAAGAGAGACATGGAGCAGAAACACTCCACCATCCAGCAAAAGGTGCACACACGCACACAATATGCTCACATTTTCCCCTAAATTGTAAACACAAATGCTCAAAACATTTTGAACAAACTAGCATTCAATTTAGAATTTTAGCACTGGGCACAAAAATCACAATACAACATTTGTAGGTGTGAATAACAATAATTAATGTCCAATTTATTCTCCTTACGTCTGTCCAGCAGCCTGTGAAACACAAAAATATAAACACAGCCTCCATGTGTGCTCAACATGGCCGCTCCACTCTGAGCCTTTTTTGTGTGTATTATAAGTTTATGGCTGTTACGTGCTCTTGCCTTTGGTCACAAAGCCTTTCTTATTGCACTTAGGCCTCCTCCCATCAAAAGTTAAGCCGCAGCACTCTGCTGGGATCTAGCAAGACTTACCTTTACCCCATAGTCAAGTGTTATAAGCCCCCTGACCACAACAGGCCTCCTCTGAACTCTGCTACAATGCTCCAGGTCCATAGTTTTTTTTCAATAATGCATATAGAATAAGAAGCCCAGTGGACCATTTATGTACCAAAGCTAGTGATGTCAGCCATTTATTTTACATTTGTCATTTGAGTGAATGGAGGAAGTACTCAGTTGTAAAGTGATCGCTACAGATGACTTCAGCCACACGCTCATGCGTTATTGACAGCTGACAGAAACCCATTTCCAAACAACCAAGGTTGAGTTTCAGCATGCTACCATCTCTGTCCAGCATTCCTCCAAACATAATATCCTTAATTACGCATACTTTTTAATAAAACACTCTCCACAAGCGTTCGGCAGAGGCTTTGGCAAGACGTACGAAACAGGATATGTAAGAAATTGGACACTTAAAACTTCCAGCATTTTTGCCCCCGTAGTTTTAATTTCAGCATCATTTCCTGGTTATTTTTAAACATGTTTGTCATAAGTATATATAACTGTACAACACACAATCTCATTAACTCCAGACAACATGTGCCACTTCTTTACCCAGCTGTTGTTTTTCTGGCTTCTGTTAATTTGTCTGCCTTGTCAGTGCAAGTAGTCTCTTCTGACAGGTTCAGATTTTATTTAACATCTGTCAGTTTCTAATTTACTGTCCCCATCTTTTCCCTCTGTATATTTCTTTTGTCCTCTCTTCTCTCTTGCACTGTTAGTGATAGTACTCGCTAACCTCTGCTTGTTCTTAAACATTTCCTCTACCTCCCTCGCTCAGTTTATTTTAATACTCTTTACATTGTCTCTCTCCCACTGCTCTCTCTTGTCTAGCTGTTTGTGTTCAGATTTTACTGACTAACTCTCTTTTCTGCTCCTGCTCTTTCCTCTTCTTCTCTTCTTCTACTCACTACAGGCTGCTCTGCAGGTAAGCTGTGACTCTGTTCTATTTTCTATCTGCTCAAACCTTGTCAGCTCTCATCATCTGTAGGAAGATGAGTCAGCTACTCAACTCATTAAACTGGCAAGATAATTTGCCGTTTAACAGATTTTAGTTGTCACATTGATCCTTGTGCCCTGTCGTCCATCATTGGATACACAATATTATTGATACTGTACTAGAGAGGTACTTTAACCCAACACACTTACCTACCACCTACCACTTTGCAATAGAACCTACATTACTAATTTAATTATCTATATTTACGATAAACTGATTTATTTTATATATTGGCCTAAGTGACAAGGGTCGTTTGCACCAATGTTTTTAGTTCCTTTGGTGATGTAGGTTGTTTTCTTGCGGGGGTTGTCCTCATCACCCACTAGTATTGTAGTGTTTCTTTTATACCTTGGTGTAAGTCAGAATGTGAGTTTTGAAAGCCTGAAGTCTTTTTAAGGAATTCAGTCCCCCATCATTTTATTATATCATTATATGTTGTGCTATTTGACTGCAAAAACCTTTACTTACTGCCCCCTGTAGGCTCGTTTTATGTTCGTGTCTCCTCATTCCTGTGCGTACTGTCCACTTTATTTGTGTTTCCACATATACCCTTCCCATTAACGTTGTATTGATGAAACCTTCCATCCTCATGGGAGTTACAAGGGGTCCTGAGGTTGTGTTTAGTATGCTTCCTGTCTGCTGCGTGCATTATTCAGCAGTAGCACTGTAAGCACATGGCATTACAGTCTCTCAGTGGTGCTTCAGCAGAGAGAGATGGGCAAGATATTTTTTGTCTCAACTCTTAAAGAAAGAAAACATCGTCATTGGGCTGCTCTGGTTTTCAAATGCTGGGATTGTATTTCTGTAGAAATAAGCCAGAGTTCCTTAAACAGGCAAACATTCATGATTTTTATGTTAAAGGAAGAAAGTTATAAACCTTTACTATGCCTAAAGGACTTGTTTCTTAAGTAACACACACGAGTGGGATGATATAGTGAGGGGAAAAGCTGAGTGCATGTCTGTTAAACTGAAGCCAGTATAAATGTTTGATGCCTGAGCTTCTCAGCACAGTCCACTTAATTATTCTAACCCAACGGTCACACCATCAGCACACACATGCACGCACATACACACCCAGACACAGGTGATCTCTTAGAGTGTGAGGCCTCAGGAGGAGGAGCAGCGACGAAAGTTTGGATAGACACATAGAACCACAATAGAGGAGGAGCCGAGAGACGAGTGATGCTGCGTATAGCGCTGGAGTGTTATTGAGATGCTGCGCAGGTAGACTTTGAGATCGCAAAAACTCTTCTGCCTCACACAGAAACATTCTGATACACACAAAGTGGCACAAATGCTATAAAACCGATGAAAAATGAAGATTTTCAGCCGTTTCCATTATGTTTGGTACCTGGTGAGTGCAACCAATATGGAGTGAAAATGTACATATCCATGGGCTTTGCTATTTGTAGTAACAGTGTGTTTATGTTAGCCCTTCTCTAGCGTGAGTGTGTCGTTTGCAACATTTATTACTTTGGCATATCAGTGATATTTAAAACTTGTTAGTGTAAAGAAATACACATTTCTTTTCTCTGTGTGTCATTCTCTTGCTGTGTGTAATGTTTTAGGAGGTGACAGAGCTCGAGTCTTTACCAGGCTACCGCAACTTTTGTGCTTGGACCTCCGTACGTAGAGTCATTGCATTGAGTTCCGTGTGACTTGTGTAACCCTACCTGCACCCATCCTTCATTGCCTCTTCTTTCCTTTCTCGCTCATGCAGTGCAGTGTTTGAGTTGTTGCACCTTCATCTCTTTTGTTTTTTCATTTGAGTGTTGCACATGCATCAGTCTTCTCGATGTGTCTTGATTATACAGCATGCATTATTTTCATGCTAGTGTCTGTTACGTTGAACTCGGTCTGCTGGTTTGATGTTAGTGAGTATAGTTTGTTTCTTTGCCGTCAACTGTTTGGATAATAAACAAACTATTCTCTGTTGTGAGTCGTAAACCTTACATCTCTTGAAATGTTTCAGGAACTAAGAACACCAGCTGTGCTCGTAGCTTGAGCACTACTTGTTTTTAAGTGTGTGACAGGGTTGAAAATTATTTCCTGAGCCAAAGTTGTCACAGAAATCTCACAACCCATGAGTTTAAATACGAGAGTCAGGTTTTCACATGATGATATCAGTGCTCTGCTTTAGTATATGTCTCATTCTTTGTTCTCACTCTTGATTAGAGATTTTTGTTGTTTGCTTGTGTATGTGGGAGAACTTGTGTGAGCAACAACATACGGACACCTGGTCAGTGTCATGATTTCCTTACACCTAAGTTCATCTTAGGGGAATTCTTTTTCTGAAACTGAAAACTTGAAGAAAAGGTACAGTTCACTTGATTACAGAGCTTGCAGGAAGGGTTGTTAACTAAACACTTACATTGTTATATCATACAGAGAAGCATCTATTTAGTTCATGGCTACTTTCCAGGAAGTAAACAGGAGAGGGTAGTGACTGCCTGTTGAATGAATGAGGTCATCTCCACTCAACGCCCAGAATTGTCTATGTTGATATATTTTACTCACTGAGTTTGCTGCTCTTGTATTTGTGGTAAAAAATTGGTCCATTTGTGGTCTTTTCAATCCAGCAGTCATCTGATGCCTTGAATAATATTTTATGATTTGATATCCCTCATAAACTTAATATCAAACAACTGGCAAAATGATAAATATCACTGATGTGAAGAGGCAGCTAAACTTTCACCCAATAAATGCTGCTATCAAGATATGTTTTGTTTTCATTTAATTAATATTCTTGATAAGAGATCCTCTGACTCTCCTCTGTTTCACAATGTTGATCAAGATGAATCAGTCCAGGCTGAGTCAGAAACTCGTCACAGTAACAGACCTAGATATCGAGCTATAGTCTGTAGTGGAGTGACAATTGGTGTAAACCGACTCGACAAGGACACACACACACATACACGCACAGACACAGACGCATGCACAGATGCATCATGGTGTTCAAATGCCACCTGAAACTGAGGAAGCTGGAAGTGTGATAGAAACATGTGGCAGCAGCTCAGGTAGTTAAAGATAGACTGACCCATGACAACATGGCAGATTGAGTTTCAGCAGGAGCAGAGTCAGTGAGACAGAGGATGCATGAAAGCTCATCTGTGCAGCTTTTCTCCTTCAAGGACAATAACTATCTCCCTAACTATGAGCTCAATAACTAACAGGAATTGTTTATGTGGCCTCTTAATTTAAAGATTGTTTGTGTGAGCGTAGCACTAATGGGGGAGGGAATTGGATTTCGTGAATGTTTGCAAAACAACATTAACATTTTACTATAATTATGTTTTCCTTGTTGCAGGAAAGCAGTGTTGTATGTTGCACTTGTTGTTTGGTATGTATCTGATCATTCCTGGCATTTGTTGTGCTCCTTTGCGCCCCCCACTGGTTAGATCATGTCTTCAGAGACGGGGAGAAATAACGTTTTGAAGCCTTAAGGAAAAAGCTGAAGAAGCGGGGTGTAACTCCACATTTCAGGCAGCCATTACAGTGGCTGTAACAGATTGTTACTCTTTAAGCATAAAGCAATTGCTTCTGTCTTTTCTGGTTCATGGTGTGAAACATAATTTCTGGTCAGTGTGAACAGTGGCTGCTCACTACAAGGTCATTGAGAGTCACAGCTCACCCCAGGGAAAAACAGGAATACCATATGATTCACAAGAAAAATGTGGGAAGAAAATACTCTGTCCTTATATTTTCTTTTTCTTCATCTCCATCCTCCTTTTTTAGGATTTCTCGAATGATGACACCAAGCTGGAATACAATGTGGACGCAGACAACGGCATCGCCATGGAGGGTTATCTTTTTAAAAGGGCCAGCAACGCCTTCAAGACATGGAATAGGTACAGCAGACACTCTTCAGTGAACAGTTTTATGATTTGATTAAATTTAAGGATGAAGAACAGCTGTTGTGGGCTGGTAATGGATTTAAGAGGGCAGCCACTATCATCATAATTTAGAATAGAGATACAGATGGTGCTTTTTATCAGGACTGCAAGAATATAATGTTGTAAAAGTAAGAAAAGGTGTAATGCCATGAAAGACTTGAATAATTTTTTTTTATAAATGTCAGTAAATTCAGCCTGTCACCTTTTGTCTTTTCAAGTTGACCCTTGCTTGGATGGTATCATGAGCATACATGCATATAGATAAGTTTTCTTTTTGGAATTTTGTTATTCCAAAGAAATGAATTTATGTTTCTGTTTTTTGGTGAAATTAACATATTGTAGATTACTGTTTACTGTGTTAAATTACTCTATTAATGAATCTACCCATCTACCTCTCCAGGTATTTCTATCTCTTTCACCCAGATGTTATTTTAGGAGCATCACTTTGTTTTTTTAATAAACTCATGATCTCCTTTCAGGCGTTGGTTCTCCATCCAAAACAATCAGCTAGTTTACCAGAAGAAATTTAAGGTAAGTCTAGTGAGTCCCTGAACTCAACCGCAGACACAATCAAATATGCATGTGTTGGACTTACAGCACAAATATCTCCCCCATGTATTTTTAATGGGATGCTTTGGCTTCACTTTAGAGCAGTAGAAGTCAATTCAAAAGGTTTAGTGTAGTGAAAAAAACACTGCTGTACGTGAAGATGTGTTTCTCTGTGTGCAACTATTTAGCAAAATATAGAAGTAGTGTAACTCGATGTCTTAACTTTTTAGTTTACACACGTCAGGATACACACATTTATTTGCTGTGTACAAAACTGAAGAAATTGTTGTGTTTAGTATTTTACTATCATAACATTTCATTGTAAAACTGGTGGTAACATCTTTGACAAAATCTGAAAAACGTTTAGCTACTTTGTTCAGTTAATGGCCCAAAGAATGCAGAAGAAGGAAACCTGAATATCATGTTATTTGGATTATCTTTGGTGCTCCAGTGGTGTTTGTGCATTGTGTTTGACTAAAGCTTCTGTTTTGTCCCCTCAGGACAACCCAACAGTGGTGGTAGAGGACCTTCGGCTATGTACTGTCAAACACTGTGAAGACATAGAGCGTCGCTTCTGTTTCGAAGTGGTGTCACCTACCAAGTAAGTTTGAGTCACTGACTTATTCCTCCGTATCTGTCTAATGATCACAGAAATAATATGAAGGTGGGAGGGTGTAGCCACCTCCTACCACACACACACACACACACACACACACACACACACACACACACACTGACAGGCTGACAGGCTGACAGCAGTGGTTTGATGTCTCTGCGTCCCAACAGGAGCTGTATGATGCAGGCAGACTCAGAGAAGCTGCGACAGGCCTGGATCAAAGCTGTCCAGAACAGCATCGCCACCGCCTTCCGCGACAAGGGAGATGAAGGCGAGGTAAAAACCAAACGCAGTCCCGCTGTTGGTTACAAAGATTCATATAGTCAAATAAATTACATAAGAGATAAATATAAAAATACAACCTCAAACAAACATCCTTTACACTGCTCTGAAGTGACATATTCCACACAAGAGAAGCTTCGAGAACAGAACTCTGAACTGTATGCAAACATGGATGCCTCTAAGAAATCAAATGTTTTACCCTTTTAGTCATGTTTATCAGATGTATTTGTCTGGTGGATAATATTATACCAAAATACTTGTCATTATATATTTGTGTATGTAATACTGACTTGCTATACTCTTGTTAATATTAAATTCCTCTGTTTACTTGTTATCCCCCATAGTATCCTCTGAATGTTTGGTTCTCACAATCACCCCACAAGGATAAAGTTTCACTTCATCTCGATAAAAAGCGTCACTTCTTCTCCTGGATGACTGTTTATATCTTTCATCTCTGTCCTGTTAGAAGCTGGACAGGAAATCGTCCACATCGACAGGGAGTCTTGACTCAGGTGGGGAGCCAAAGGAGCGATCGCTGAAAGGAGAGAGTGCCCTGCAGAAGGTCCTGGCCATCCCGGGCAACACCTGCTGCTGTGACTGTGGCCAGCCAGACCCTCGCTGGGCCAGCATCAATCTGGGCATCACCCTCTGCATACAGTGCTCTGGTATTCACAGGTATATTGCTGTGCTTTAGTGACTTAAATTCCTTGTAGAAGTCTTGATGGCACATAAAAGCGGCAGCAAAAGCAGGGGCTGCAATAACAGAGTCGTGGGGGATGTAGATAATTAGAAAATCCAATTAAAAAGAAAAGAGAAAACCACCAAGGAAGGCACTTACAGTTTAGGGATGTGTATTTCTAGAGAGGAGAAAACTAATAAACACAAGAACTGATATTAGGACAATTTATTTATTTATCACTTTGCAGGGAACAGTTCATTTTGTTCATGTTATTTTCCACAGTCATGGAAAATCTTTTCTATCAGAGCCATGGTGAGAGTATAAAGAACAAAATGTTTTGGTCTGAAGGGAATTTCGAAATGTAAACACTGACATGAACACCCACTCTGCTTGGGATGTTGTTACAAAGTTTAATTACTTAGATGTTTAATTATTATTCAAGCAGAATTTTAATTTACATTAAAGTGACTGGTAAAATCCCAGGATTTCCACACTAATATTCATCTGCACTTTATTTTCATTACAAGAGAATTATATTGGGTTCAAATATTTCAAGGATTTAATTTTAAGGGATTAACTCAAAGATAATCCCTTAAATGGCTCAATATGTGCAAATCTCTGGCACTTTCCCTCCAGTCATATCTTTTAAGGTACAGTAGTTCCTCTTCCTGCCGTTAATCTAAGAGATATATTCTAAACCTACACAGTTTTTGTGATGAATTCAGTTCAAATCTGTAAATATTCTGAACCCCCACCACGTGATTCATCCATCTAAATTATCCTATACAGCATTTAGCCTTTTATCCCGTTCAAAAAATAACTCTGTGCCTCCTTCACCTGCAGGAGTCTTGGAGTTCATTTCTCTAAAGTTCGGTCTCTGACTTTGGACACGTGGGAACCTGAACTTCTTAAGGTTAGTAAGAAAATCTAATGCACATAATCAATGTGCCTGAACTGTCCAGTTCAAGTTAATAGTCTTTCTTTTAGGAAGTGGCGTCTTATTACTTTTCTTATCTCTTCATCGCACAAATTTCATTTCTCTTACGGTTTTTGTATATCTTGGACAATTACTGTGTAATTCATTTAACAGATTTAACAGCAGTTTGGTTTTATTTTCTTCTTCTGGGTAATAATCAATTTCCCTCTTTTTTTCACAGTTGATGTGTGAATTGGGAAACGGAGTGATTAACCAGATCTATGAGGCTCGACGAGAGGAGCTAGGAGCCAGAAAACCACAGCCAGGAGACCCCAGGTACATAAATAAGGGAAAGCACTACAGTTTTTACAGCCTAAAACCAAATAAGTTCAGAAAAGTTCTCTAGATTAATTCCTCACTGGTTTTGTTCCTTAGTATTTACAGCTTTTGTGTTTGCGACATTGTGAAGGAGTCGGGCTACTAAAACATGAATTAGACTTGAGACTTATAAACTTAGACTTTTATAAAATAACACAAGAACAGAATATAGGCATTATTGTCTTAATATAAACGTGACTTTGTTCTCATTGTGATTAAACACCTAATCCTCTAATCATGAACTCCCTCTGTATCAAACTGTTCCTGGTTTGAGGAGACACGTGGTAGTAAATATTTTCAGTGAAGGCTAAAGACCAGCTGATATTTCTCATTTTACTTAAAAACAAAACCCTTTTCTTCTTGTTTCCTCCAGACACGAGGTTGAGGCCTACATCAAAGCCAAATACGTAGACCGTCGGTTTGTGCGCCGCCCGTCAGACGAGGAGCTTCGCAACAAAGTGGTCTCTCTGAGCAAACAGGAGAAGAGGCTGAGCAGCAGCTCCGAGCACCTGCCCCCCAGACCACCTCCACCTACCCCCAAACTCCGACCGGGTTCAAACACCTCTGGACAAACAGGTCAGTACAACAGTGAAAATAAATCACAACTTTGACCCAGTACTTTTTTCTTTTTCTGTAACCTTTCCCTCATCTCTGAACCTTATGAATAACTCAGGTTTACATCAGTGAAACTAATGATTACAACCAGACAGTGTACTGAATTTTAACCGGGTTGGGTTTAAGCTCACCAACTCCAACAAGCTGTAACTGAAAATCAGTGTTAATAATCTTTTGGGACAAGTTGAGATATATTTTTGGAAATTAAATATTAACAAGCTGCATCAAATTTCCCACACTCATCGATATCAGTTCCCTAAATATGTCTGGGGTTTTTTTCATCAAGATCCATGAATTATTTCCTGGGAAAACAGTGAAAACATAACATAAGCTCCTCGGCGCAGGTAAAAATCATCGGATGGTTGCTCAGGTGATGGGTCAGTTTTGCCTTTTTGCTTCTTGAACTAACATTTTCCTTAAACTGACAAAACACAAAGATTGGCTCCTTAAATTTCCAATTTTTGGATAAGGAGTATTGTTTTATAAATTCCCAATCCTAAGCAGTGACTCAAAGTCTGTTATGTGTACGATAGACTTATTCTACTTTTTGAGGAACAAAATTACTCTGCATCAAGAAGGCAGAACTAGTGGGATTTGTGACTGGACGCTCTGTATGATCCTTTCTTTTATTTTTATTTTTTGCACTTCTGTGAAGACGTGTCCACCCACCGGCATACTGTGTGTTCTTTGGGAACAGCATATGTCTTAGCCTTCTCTGCCTCCCATTGCTTCTCGTAATCTGTCTCTCTCAGCGTGAGTCGAGCTGGTAGTATAACTCTGTGCCTTCGCCCTGCTCCCCTCCCTCTCCTACCTCTTCTCTCTCTCTCTTTTCTTTCCTCTCCTGGCTGTTTTGTGCTTCTTGACTAACCCCTGCTTTCAACGCCTCCCCCCCAATTTCCCTCCTCTCCCCCCCAACCTCACTCTGACACAAAATTGACACCCTTCACCCTCCAATTTCCAAACTCCCATCATCCTTTGCGTAGCTGCTGCCAGCGGCTCGGAGACTCGCCGCGACTCTCTCTTCTGTCCTGATGAGCTTGACTCGCTCTTCTCCTACTTTGACACATCTGCCAAGCTCAGGAGCAGTAAGTACTAAATGCTCAGTGTTTCGCTTGCTTCTCCCCCCCCCCCCTTGTCCATTCGTGTTCACTGCTTTGGGGCTATGGAGCAACAACCATCCATCTCCTTCATCTTCTGTTCCTCCCTCATCCAGACCTTCCGAATGGATCATTCCATCATAACCTTGCAGAGCGTACCATGTTTTGTTTTCCCTGGGGGGTTGGAGAGTGTTTCTCTCCCACATGGTTTTGGTCACTGTCTGGTTTTTGCGTTTGTATCTGTCTTGTCATATTTTTGGTATTTAGGGACCTGAAACATACGGTGATGGAGGATCTGTCATTTCAGCTTGGGGACGTGTGAGCACACTGACTGTAGAAAATATTAGGAACACCTGCTGTTGATGTTAAATTGAGTTTTAGGCACAGAAAAACAAATGCCTTCATCCAAAGGCTGAGTAAAGAGGCTGTGTGTGATGAGATTAAATGTTTATTTTGCTTTAGACGACCAACAGGAAGGTGTTCCTTTTATTTCATACATACGGTGAATGACATCTGTGTGTGTTGTTCCACAAAAAGTGACCAAGACTCTGCTTTACAGTAAAAAGTGCAGACAGCGGCATCCAAAACAGCGCTGATGGAAGCAGGGAAATGCTGGCCAACACCCCGTCCAATAACAGCCTGGCAGAAGCTGGTGAGACCCACAAACACACACACTCACACTTTGTCAGCACTTTTGAAAATGACTGTAGTAATATCCAGTGAAACAACATGTTACACCAACTGCAGTGGAACACAGAGATGCTGGAGGACAGTTATGATGTAAGAGAGAAGAAATGGTGAGCAGAAGAGCCACAGGTGCTTTGAAACATTTTTCAAAATTCACCTGAGCAGATGGCACAAAGCGAAGATGTCTTTCATTTGAACATTTTTGCATTTTCTGGTTTGCACTAATATGAAATAAAATTAAAATTATAATAAACAGTAAAAGAATATAATAATCTCACCCTGGAAAAGTTTAAAATTCATGCAAATGTATGGAAATCTGTTTCGGGGAAAACACATGCATTTATTAATAAAAAATAGTTAGACAGTTGAGTTACTGTATCTATCCCGAGAGAAATTTCCTCTTCCAGCAGCTTGTATGACAATTATAAAGAAAGCAGCACACACATAGATACAAACTAAAAAATACACACAGTTGTGCAAAAAGTGCCAACAGAGGCAGTATTTGAGTGTTCAGTGATCATCAACCGCCATATACATAAGTTGTCCATTTCACGTAGTGCACTGTATTTTATTCCATATCTACACTGTATTTATTGTTGTAAAAAAAATCCCTGGTGTGAAGTTGTATTTTCCTAGATGATTAACTAAATGTTTGAGATAAAATTTGAATTCTTTCTTTAGAAAACATAAACTTTTTGAAAACCATAGCTGTACTGTACTAGACTCCCAGAGGTTCCCTCCTCCTAAGACACAACTTTCCTCCCATTTCTCAGATGCTGCTGAGTCTCCGCCCATGGCCATGCCTGCCAAGCTGCCTCCTCCCTCGCCCTGTAAAGAGATGGTTTTCTATGAACCCAAGGAGTACAGCCAAGGTCTGCAGCTGTACTGGGCTTCATGTGCCCGCAGTCTGCCGGACATGGCCGAAGCACTGGCCCACGGAGCCGAAGTAAACTGGGTCAATACTGAGGACGACAAGAGGACGCCGCTCATCATGGCGGTGCAGGGGGTACGTATGGCGGCAAATGGACAAGTCAGTCTGGTACCATAGTGGATAGTTTGCAGTAAGGAAATTACATTTGGACATTTAACCAATGTATCATATCAACTTGTATTCTCAGGGGTCACTGGTCACCTGTGAGTTTTTGCTTCAAAATGCAGCTAATGTGAACCAGCAGGACGCTCAGGGCCGGGGTCCCCTGCACCACGCCACCATGCTGGGACACACAGGGTTGGTCTCTACACCTGTCTACCACCTTAACTCCACACACATCTGTCACTCAATAATACTGACAGCATTGTGAAGAGCCTTATACAACTTTTATGAGTATGTTCATCTCTCTTTCAGACAAGTTTGTTTGTTCTTAAAAAGAGGAGCGAATCAAAATGCTGCAGACATTGACGAGAAGACACCACTGACCATAGCGGTGGATGCGGCCAATGCAGACATTGTTACACTGTGAGTGTCATACACGTCATTATTATTAGTTATGATTGATCTCTTCATTTCATGCTGGGACCATCGTCTGAGTTTACACTTTGACGCATCATAGAATTCCATCCCGACCACATATAGTAATACTTCGTAAATTTAAATGTTATCCACTTGGTTCGGAAATGAAATATAATATATTCTGAATTCAACACTGGTTATTTTGAATCACTTATTTATGTGATGAATCATTTACAGTGAACTGATCATTGCCACTTAATAAATCCTGACAATATAAAACAAGAACCACATAGAGACAAACAGGACTAACAATGATTAATTATTAACACTGTGTATTATCACAACTACACACAGCTTAGTCATTATGCTTCCATCTGAGAGAAGTCTTTAAATATCTTTAACCACAAGGTGTCACCACCTCATCAGAGTAGAAGTAGAAAAATCAGATCTCCTCTTTTATTTAAAACAGAAATAAAATATCAGGCTTTCATTTGGCTGGTAAATCTGAATATTTATGTATTTATTTTTAGAATTAGCAGCATATCTGACATATCTGAGAAATGACCTTAAAATAAATCACTGACACTTTCTCTGTGTATGTCTGTGATTGATCTCTGCCTCTCTGTTTCTTCACTTTCTTCACAGGTTGCGACTGGCGAAGATGAACGAGGAGATGCGAGAGGCGGAGGGGCCCTACAGCCAGTCAGGTCAATATAACACCAACAGCCCCACCGAAATGCAGTACAGGAAGTGCATGCAGGAGTTTATTAGCCTGCAGCTGGACGAAACTTAATAACTGTCCGCTCTCTTCCAAACAAATGAGCAGAACTGTAAAAGCAGAGGAAATGCAAAGTCTGGGTTTCAGAGTTGGAGTCAGTTCACTTAAAACTTAACAAGAAGATGATGGTTTAAATACTCGGACAATTCATTCTCAGCGGAGGTTTCTATTAGAAGACCTCCAGGTTTGTTGAAATGTGATCCACTGACTGTGATGATGGGTCAGAGTGAACTGAATCTAACTCTGTGTGTCTCAGTCGCTGCAGCCTCTGTTTTAACGTCCCAGCTCTTGACCAGGTGCTGGACAAACTGCACCTTGGTGTGGTTCAGTTCAGGTGCTCGTTAAACCGTCGACTCTGGACATGACTGTAGAGTTTTGTTCCAAAGTGGAACATCCTCCTTTTCAGTTAAGTGACCGTTACTGTCACGTAGGATTATTTGATAGCACAAAATTAAAACAAACAGCGGTTTTCTAGAAAGTTTGTACTTTTCTCCCTATAAGTCTAAAGCTGCTTTCAGACATGCACTGAACTTTATTCCTGTAATTGTCCAGAGGGGCTGTATGTGAGAAGATGTCTGAGTCAGTTGCTCCAGTCTTTTTCTGGAACTTTTCCCTGCCAGGCACTAGGGGGCAGACATGTGCTGAAAATGTTGGAGTATGTCCGTGAGAACACAGCAGGAAAATGTCCCTAAAATGCACAGCAAGCAAGATGATGATGTTTCTAACGTGACGAACACAAAGGTGAAAAAAAGAATATAAAGGAAGATGCGTCTTATCTTGCCTCCCGCCTGCTCTACACAGGCGCTGCTGCTGTTTGTACGAGTGACCTGCTGCTGTGTTCTTCATAGTGGAGAGTTCATGTCTGAAAAGGGTTCGACACTAGCTTTGTTCATTTCCTCTGTTTGAGAGGTGTTCAGTAATTTATAGTAAATCATTTGTTTGTTTTTAGGGCTAAAATACTTTTTAATCTTTTAATTAGTGACTTGTCTCTAGTATCAGTCACAGTATCTTTACAAAAAAAAGAATCTATATTCCCAGTAACCACTCCCAGTACCCAGTGACGCTCAGACCTCAAAGTGAAGGCAGGTTTCACTATCTTGCAATAATTGTGACTTGTGAATGACATTTTTTACCATCAGACCAGTGTCATGATGTGTGTTTATAAACGGCCAAGTTTCCTTTTTAACTTAAAGTGATTTATGCACATTCCTGTTAATAGTTATGCAACTGCTGTACCTTTACCCATGACTGTTCGTAAGGTCCCTGTTTGAAGTCTTAACCGTATTCAAGGCCTGTTTACTTTGTCGTCCAAACATGATGCATCTCGCTGTTGTGACACAGAAAAAGTCTATTTTACATCATTTTCTATTATAAAGATAAATATAGGGTTGTATAATGTGTATACATACTGTACATGTTGTAAATGATGTGCATACATACATTTCTATAGTGTGTCAGAATACGCAGAGGTGAGAGTGACTCACACAGGGTGAGTGCCATGAGGGACACCTTCATTCATCCTTGATTTCTTTTGTTTTGATTGTGATGTATTTACTTCCTGTTATGACAATGTTGTGTCTTGGGTATTAGTCGGTTAAGTGCGCTCGCTCATCGCCTGCAATTACGGGAAATCCAGAATTGTAAGACAAGAGGCCTTTTGTTGCCGTCGCATCGATCGTCTCGAATGTTAGCGGAGTACAGACAAATCGTCTGAGGAGTCCAGATTTAAGTGCAATAGTGTAGAAAGGTATCCACGTGTATCCGTGTTTAGTATTATCTTATATTTCTCTTAATCTTAGGTGAGCTTTACAAAAAAATGATTATTCACAAAGAACATGGCAAATGAGTTTGAAGCTCACTGACAATGTATGAAAAAATAACTATTCCGAACGTACCCTGGTTTATCACATCTCCGCTCCCTGCAGCCGCTACTTCCTGAAGGGCATCGAAGCACTTTGATTAATTTCTGTTGTTTCACATAGACAGAGCAGCGCCCCCTGCTGCTGACAGAGCAATATGTCACATCTTTAATTCACCAGTTAGAACAGAGATTACTGATGTGTTGTTGTTGTTGTTGCTTGTACAGACAAAGTTTTCTGTGAACTTTAGACACTGAGCGGTTCTTACATTTTTAGATTGTAGGGGAAATGGAATATTGTACATTTCTGTGTGTTGATGAGAAGAGGGACCTGCTCTGCTCTGTCGTCTATTTTTCCAAAAATAATAAAGCGTCTTAGATTGAGGGCTAGTCGTGCTGCTGTAGGCAACTGGACTTTTATTTGAATGAATGCTGCTTTTTTTAAAAAGTGGAGGCTCCTCTTTTTAAAAATAAGACTGGAATGTTTTGGACCTACAACAAGAAACGCTTCTTTGTTCCTTCATATTTTATTTTAGCATGTGCAATGGTTGTTGATAGAGAATGACACAGAAAGTGTTGCTGGCAGTTGTTGCCTTAAAGGTCAACAGCAGAGACAGGAGCAGTGATGATGAGAGGAACAGAGGGAAGATTGTCTTTAGCAGGAGAGGTCGAGTCTGAAGTTTGTGTTTCTAGTCAATGAAAGATCCTCAAGTCGAGAGGATTCACCTTGTGCCAGCATCAGCTCGCCGTCCGCTCCGATACGCGCGGGCCACTTCATCAGAGCCTCCAATCAGCTGATGAGCGATGGTCCTGATGAGGGATATTCAGGGGGATGGAAGTGAGGGAGAAAGAACCACATCAATCCCCCCCCCGCTCTTGGTTTTGTTAAAATTACACTACTCCCCCGCTCAAGTGTTTCTACCTAATTAAGTGTAGACGTGGTTCTCAGCCTGAGCGTGGCTCAGTGGTTCAAACAATAATCTATGAAATCTTGTGGGGGGGGGGGGTATCTACATATATATTTTTGGAATATAATTCTAATTCTTTTTTTTATAAATATATTTTTCTTGAATTGATATTTGTCTGCTGTTGTCGTCTAAAAATGTATTTAAAAACCCCATGAAGGGGGAATCCAAACACATGACCCCTCCAACAGGTTGAGAACTGCTTCTCTCTTTATCGCTCTCATTCTCGATTCTGTAAATTCACTCTGTTCTGTATTTTTCTTTCTTCTTTTCTCCGTCTCCTCCCCAGAGTTTGTGCCTTTGTTTTGTTCTTCTCTTTTCTTTGGGGTGCTGAGGCAACGCAACTGTATTTTTTTGTACATTAACTCCTGCACTTTAAACACAATACAGTTGCTGACAAAAACAAATCTCTCTGGGCTTGTCTTTTCTTTCTGAGTCGATCTCCAGCTGAGAAAACAACAAACTGTTTTCACAATCATTTGCCTTTTTGCTTCCTCCATTCTTCCCTTCTTTCCTCCGCCTCTGTGTTGATCTGTTTCATATTTCGAGCCACGCTGAAACTCTGACAGGTACGGCTGACCTTTCTTCTTTTTTCATTCTTGTTCTGATGACACTGTGCGTAAATCTTCCTCCCTGGTATTTAAACCTGCTCTGCACCTACATGAGGACGCTAAAATGAGTTTGGTTCAGTTTGTGGTCACAGTTTAGTTCTGTTATATCTTGTTGCAGATGAAGTTCTCTTGTGCAAACATTGAATTGTGGAAGAGGGAAACTGAACAGGATTAGGTTGTTGTCTGTGCAGATTGTCACGCTCCTGTTCCACTGCAGGAGATCCATGTTTTTTATCTGTAGATGTTAAGTCTTGTAACTCATGTATGTTTATCAAACTTGGATGGGTTTTCTTCTTGGCCCATGTCCCATCCTTCCACCAAACGCTGTAAATTAGCATTTAACCTCCTCGGTTGAGGTAAAAAGCAAAAATGAATGATTTGTGTAAGAAATGTCGGAAACTGCAGCTCTGTCTGTTTTCCTTTTCCTTTTTGTTGTTGCTCATGTCTTGTGTCTTGGTCGTTCCTTCAGGTGATGAAACCTACCAGGACATTTTCCAGGACTTCACCCACATGGCCTCCAATGACCCGGACAAGCTGAACCGTTACCAGCAGTACGACCCGCAGCGACCCTGACGCTGCAGAAACTCCGTCCAGTAGCTCTTAGACAGACGCTGTCACCGACCTGGGAGAGACACAGTTTATAAACCTCCGCCTCTGCCTGGTCATTTTCCCTCCCATCATTCAGAAACATCTGCGTTAAAGCCGGTTAGTGCTGCCACAGCTGGACACGTCAGCATGTCTCACATGGGAACTCTGTGAAAGGAAAACCTCACTGTTCTTAAACTGGGCTTCTCAGTAGAGGACCTGTGACAACAAGTGAATGGTACAGTGTTAAACCCTTTGAAAGGATTCGCAGTAATTAAAGAAAGATTTTTAACTCGGTCTGAATGTAGAGCGCCGACGAGGCTCAGTTTGATCCCTCCTGACAAAAGACAACTTCTTCTTTAATACGTTTAAAAAAAGGAGTGTGTTGCATCAAAGAGCATGACAGATTGTTAAATAGGATTCTCTTTATGAGTATAGGCATCTTTTTTATATCAAACCTTAGTTTTATGAACTTCCAGCTGCGTATCCACGGCAATATGCTTCCACTTATTTGCACAAGTCCCTTTGTCTTAAAACAACACTGATGTTTACCAGTTGTGATGGTATGACTTTGACGTGTTGTAAAATGTACAGTGATTATAGAAGTACATGTTACTGACTGATTTTAATGTTAAATAGAATTTTTTTTTTTTTAATGCTTTTTATTCTTTAACGTTTTTTCTCAGTGATTCTGGTTTCGGTCCCGTCGACAGCAGCTTTTTTATGTGTCAGCGCTTCAGCTTCTTGATTTTGTGGGTTAAAGTAGCTTCAGTTGTCGGACGTGATCGGTGATTAGATTCAGTCTCATCCTGATAGAAGATGAAAAGGTAAAAAACTGAACATCAGTCTCGACCTGGAGATTTGAATGCAGAATTTTATTCCCATTGATTTTTAAAAGGTTGGTAAAACTTCATTTATTTTTTAAAGGTTCATAATTTTCTAATTTTCAGTCCTGGATGATTTGGCTTGTTGATGCATTTATGATAAATGCAAATATTTAGGTGATCAATAACCTTGTGTTTCCTATAACATGCTATGAACACTGGTGACTGGAGAGAAAAAAAACTCATCATCATCAAACTGTATTTATTTATAAATACGAGCAAATTCTTATCAGGGATTCTGAGGACATTATGAACCTGTAATCCACAATAAAGCAATACCACCAAAAACAGTTTTAAAGCTACATGGTTTCATGTGTTGAGCTGTTAAAAACTGACATTTTCAGACTCAGCTCAGACGCCTTCACTCAAAATGTTTAAACTCAGAAATGAATTCTGTAAATATCATAAAAGATGCTCTGCTCTGCGATTTAGGACTTTTAGTTTTTTCCTTTGAAACTGTACAATATTTAAACATTGATAGTTTAAACCAGGATGTGACGTCAGTTCCTGAGGAAATCTTTGTCCAGTGATGCAACATGGGATACAACTCTTGTACATTTTGTACAGATGCTTTTGAATTCTGCAGAGAACTGAAGTATAAAGTTAGAGGTACTTGAATCATTAAAATAAGATGTTGTATATGCTGTTCTTTGTAACCTTCAGTCATTCAGACCATTTTATATTGCCTGTCTGTTAAACCATATACATGTACTGTATATTCCACCTGTAATATCTAAGAACTTCAATACATAGACTGAGGATTCTCCACCTAATGATGATTCTTTGTTTTGCTTTGTCTCGAGATTTAATTTGAACCTTAAGCTTCATCTGGTTTATTTAAAGTCGTCAGTGTGTCGGTGAGAAAAGAGTTAGTGTCACGTTCACTCCCACAAACTGGTGTTTTACACACAACATGGTTTTCTTCAAAGTACAATATGAAGCTGGACTCGCATCTGTCTCACCTGTGGAGGAAGATTTGACTTCTCTCATACAGTTTATTTTTCTATAAGTTCTTTGTCACATGGATTTTAAAACATCTATGAGTCTATTTTGATATTAATTAATATTCCTTCAAAATCCCAAATATATTTGCTCACGCTAAAATATTGGACCGAAATTTGAAGCGATATTCAGGGTCGGTCACGTTGGCTGAGCCGTGGACTTGATCTTTTTTGATGTGCCTGTAATTGGAGAAAACATCTCTTTTCAAAAAGTCCATAAACGTCCTCATCCTCTGAGCGTTTCCTCTTTAATCAGCGAAGCAGCGTTTAATCCACTCAGCCATTGTTCACTTGTTCTATTAACTCTGCTCCAGAACAGGACTATTATAAACAAGATGATTTTCCAATCTGATGTTCCAACATTACGGTCTGATGAAAAGAGTCTAAAAATACACGGCGCAGTGTTAAGAGCTTTAACGCCTCCACTTCTCTGGGTAATTTCAGATCATGTGTCGAGGGCGACAGTCAAATTCTCAACGTTTGCCTCCTCTGCTGCTTCTTTTCACACTTTTCCTGAATAACCGGAGTCGTCTGGAGAAGTTTGATCGTCCAGCAGAGGGAGAGCGAGTCAGTCTCTGATTCTTTTTTTTTTTTTGAGAATAAATTCTCTTGAAAATGCAGCTGGGATGTTAAAAGGCAGCTTCATGTGAGTCACAATTAGTTTTTGGTTTACTTGAACCTGGCAAGTTGATTTTAAACCTAGTTTGTTTTTTAAGCACAGACCAGATATATGTTTGTGTTAAATCATTTTAAATCACGGCTCCAGTTTATTCAATACAAATAAACTAAGCATTTCAAGTTTATTTTTAATTTAACACACAGTCATATATAGTTAGAATAACATTAACATTATTACATTCAGTTTTTTGTAATCGTCTCCTTCGCCCTCGTACAATAATGAAGTCACAAATTCATCCTTTGATTCACAGGGATTTATTGCCTCATTCCATTTCACTTTTAATAATCACAGCGTGTTTATTTCTGCAGCTGTTCAATGAGAAGCAGACCAGTGGTGCCCACCACTTCAAGTGAGTTATTGTGTTACTGTGTGTGTGTGTGTGTGTGTGTTTGTGTGTGTGTACAATAACCTGGCGTCCATGTTTAGTCTGCTGCAAACTTAGGTTCTTGAAAACACGCCACTTTTTCAACAGTGATAGCAGATTCATAATTCATCGGACTACTCCTTGACACACACACACAAGCAGCACGAGCTTCTGAAATACTGATCATCAGTCTTATGATACAGACGGATGAAGCAGGGTGACATAAAGAGAGAAGCTACTGGAAATGTAAAGTTCAGCTCAGGCTACAGTTTTTATTCTCTCTATTCCCACAGTGGCCTTTTATTTCTTACAATTACAAAAAAGTGTATCGGCCAAACTGTCTCTAAGTCACATTTTCCATTTGGCCTTTATAAAGTCAAATCAAGAATTCCAAACATCAGACACAACAAGCAAAGTAATATAAAGTTCAATTTAAAAGTAATGGCCAAAAAAAGATGAAGAAACATGATGTTAAAAACAGTCAAATGAAAGTAGGTTTTAGAGATGGTTTCGAAAAAGACAGAGAAGTTTCAAGTTCCTCAGCTTCCATAAGGTCACGACCTTGAAGGCAACGGCCCTGTCACCTTCAGAATCTCAGCCGAGTAGAAAGAAAATAAATCACATGCATGAGGCACATGCTGATTTTATCTGAAAGAAAAACTAAAGAATACAGGAAGTAAAAAAGTGATATTTCTGTTATGTACAAAAAGTATTATTAAACAAATACTTCTCCTGCTCCAAACTCTGAGCTTCAGCATCTAAAGGAAAGATTTGAACATGGTGATTTCTCGTCTCTATATTTTTCTCTGATAACCATTTAAATGTGCAAGTTTATAAATGTGATCTAAAGATTAAACCTTCGGAGGTTAAAGGTCATGTGCTGTGTACCAGCCTGTCTCAGTCCAGCTGCTGTGCCTGGCTCACGACCTCTGCTCATCGGCCTTTTCCAGGAAGTCTGCGGTCTGCCGCCTGTGGAGAAATGAAGGGCCGCCGCTGGACACGTTTCCCTCCATTAAAAAAAACACTGCGAGCAAACGCCAAGAGTCCAAGGCCCATTAATGCCGCTCGCTCTGCCAGGGACCGGACTACACAGAACATATTCATGTTAACAAGCGACCGAGTCCAGTGGTGACTGAGGTCCTGATTTCTTCAAACAAATAAAAACACCCGGCAGATGAGATCATTCCACTTCCAGAGCACGAGGGCGAGATTTTTTGGGGAATTACTCAACGAGTTTGGGGTAAAACTTCGATGGTTGACTCTGGATTGTGTTTGTGCTGCGAGATATCTGACTATCAGTCTTCTGAAAGATGTTTTTGCAGAGATCCTCATTGTCCTTCATTCTGTCTGATTCAGAAATGGTGATGAGGATGAATTACACCAGATTTGATTGGTGAGAACACAGGATATAAACAGGCAGATGCACAGAAGTAAGTCATGACCTTTTCTCTAGAAGCTGCTGTCGCACCCGGCTGTCGGCGTAAAAGGTCAGAAGTCCTCTGCGGTAAACGGGGACAGATCTCGTGAACATGATATTAAATGAGCGAGACAATAACGTCCAAAAATAACGTGTTGATCTCACAGTGTGAACAGGATCAACACATCAGCTCGGACTTTGAAAGACTAAATCCAGAAAACCAGTCAGAACCCGATCAAACGTTTCTCTGGTCCACATGAGAGAATCCCTCTCCTCCTCAGAACCATCATGGCGTCCGAATCCTGATCCCCCGAGCTGATGTTTTGCTCCGCCGGCGTTCACACTGAAACAGACGGTTCTGGTTTCATGTTTTGGAGCGGCCTCGTGCTGGAATCCAAACTGTTCTGCCTCTATTCTTTACATGCATGATGATGAATGGACAGAGGGAATGAATAGGCACAGTGTTAAACGTGCTCATGTCCTGCACCACACTCACACTGTCAGGGAGGAGGGGGTGAGGAGAGGAGGGGGGGAGGAGGGTGAACGTTGGACAATGTGCAGCAACGTGTTGTACTGATCACCACCTTCACCACCTTCACCACCCCACACGTCTACACTTCACCCTCCAGACTAATGGAATCTATGTCTCCGGCCTGCCTTCCCAGAATGGGCAGAACCAGCTGCTCTGACTCTGGTTTACTGGTTCTTTCATTTTTCCATTTGTCTCCCTGATGAAAGCCTCCCCAGAGAGCAGAGCTGTGCACGCTGCAGTGAGCAGGGCTCCTCCAGCTGAGGGGAGAGCAGGGGTCTGGTGTCCAGCTGTTCTCACCCCCAGGAGCGAAACCTCCCTCTGCTGCAGGGAACTCGGTCAACCTGAGCTTCTCTGATCCCGACAAACATTTGTACAACACAAGCCCAAAGGTCGGATACATACACACACAAAATCTGAAGAAGTGGTGACGAGGTTTAACTCTGTGATCTCTGCAGTAACTCAACAATAACTCGATACAACTATGAATTTTGTCAGTGAATCTAAAGTTTTAATTTCCCTGAGGGAGTTTTACCAACGGATCAATGAAGTTCGATCTAATCTAATCTAGTCTGTTTTGGATCACACTGTTGCACTGATTTACATGTTTGAGCCAAATGTGTGTTAATCTGCTGCTGAAAACCGTCACCAGTAAATGCATTACTTCTCCCGACAGTGAGGGCTTGTGGCTGCATGAGACAGAGAAGGAGAGGCTGTTGGAAAGTACTGAGAATTGGACAAAAACTTTTAATTTGTTTGTTTTTTTTCCAAATAATTAGAATTAATAAAATTAGAATTATGTTTCAGGAATATAAATGACCAACTCTCTCCTCTCTTAACATTTATAATCAAACCTGTTTCGGTTTCTCAGCCTGAACTGACATAATGAACTAACTCAAATCAAGAGTCCACAGATCAGTCAACTGTAAGAAAAGAAAAAGATTTGATTTTCCAAAAAATACTTTAAATATAATTATAAAAATGTGCAGATTGACTGAACGATCGTTTCAGATAGTTTTACTACCGAAAATCTGAATCTGTGATTTTCTTATTGTTGAATAAAATCAAAGTGGAAGGATTTATATTATCTAACCATGAAGGATGACGTTTGTCTGATCAAGAAACAAATGTGTCCCTCATTTTCTACTTGAATAGATTTATAGATTTTATTTTTAATTTCATATCATGTAGTTTGTCTCTACAGTATTTGTTGTTGTTGTTGTTGTTGTTGATGATGATGATGTTTTTCAGGAGGATCCCATCTTAGAGCCTCTTGCTGCCCCTCAGGAGGAGCTTGACTCCAGCCCTGACTCCAGGTCACGGACAGGTCACCTCCTCCTGCAGCTCAGTGGTCCGTCCGTCCCACAGCTTCATGCAGCTCAGAGGTGATGAGAAGAAACTCCTCAGTGAAGTGTTGCTCGGGGATCGAACGCAGAGCTTGGACTCAGCACTTGTCCTGTCTCTCTGCTGCTGACGGATCCCAGCGACGACACAGAGCCTTATATAACTCTTCACAATGTTTTGGCACCAGTCGCCTGATCTGGGATCAGTGGGGCCAAGTGAACGTCAACACAGTAAACTTCAGACTCTGGGGCAGAGCAGAGTAAACACCCGACCGTGTGGCACAGAGACCAGAGGCTGGATTTACTTCCTGAAGCTGCTCAATAACAGACTCTGGTGCATCAATGACTCTTCAGTGTAAAACTCACTGCACCGACATCAGAGGAAAAACCTCTCACTCACTGCACAGGTGAATGTTTCTGCCCAAATCTGACACAAGTTCATCTGAAGTTAAACCACAGATCGATTACTGATCACTTTTCTTCAAATCGATTTTTGAATCTATAAAATATTAGAAAACTTCCCAGAGCCCAAAGCTGCCAACTTGAAACTGCTTTGGTCTGAAGTCCAAATAAAGAGAGTTCATGACACTTAATGGACCAAATGAATTTAGTAAACTGAGAGTAAAAATCATTATTTATATGATAAGGTCTTCAATCTTCATTTGTATGATTCTATAAGACATAAAGAAACTATAATAAAACGAAAAATATATTAAAACATAACAAAAAGATGTGTAGCATTTTATAATTATATCATTGTTTTATCCCTGATTCAATTTAAAATAATAGTCAACAGAAATAAAAACTTTAAACCTTATTTGAGTTGAAGCAAAACATCAACATATTCAGTGTGTTGGTCAATTAATGTATCACAACAATTTAAATATTTGTTTGTGGTCATTGACAAATGTTTATTTTTCAGTTATAAAATGCTCAATAGAAAGTTCCTTTCAAAATATTTTAGTTCTGTGTTTAAATAATTATTTTGGCTGTTTCAGCAGAATTTATTTATTAGAGGTTCTGGCCTAAAAAACTCATTAATGAAACGTGTTGCTGTGAATATGTGTCTGTTCAATGAATGACTTGGATCCAGCAGCTCAGTGATGATGATGATGATGATGATGATGATGATGATGATTTCCAGCTTCACGATCACACGGACGAACAAGGACGAAGTAAATACAAAACAGAAATGGTTGTGAGTGTGAGAGTCAGCTACAGGTTTGTTCATGTCTCTGCTTCCTTGTTGGAGGTTTGACTTTTCATCGTCCCAGAAGGAGAATTTACGAGCTGCAGGTCTGTGGAGCCAAAATCCACAACCTCCTGAGTCTGAGCCTCGGTCCAGAGCGAAGAGAAGAGTCGACCTCGTCCAGATCTCCATCAAGGACCACGATCGGTCGCTGCTGCTCCAGTCCAACCCGACACACTCTCTGTGACCTCGTCTGCAGGCCACACACTCGCTGAGCTGACCAGTGAGCTCTCCGGTGGGTCTGCCTGACAGCTGACCCTCCATCCTTTCATCCGCTCATCAGCACAGCTTCCACAGACGTGACTACATGCTCCGTCTGCTCACACAAACCATCACCCTCCACCTCCTCGACGTCTGCTCTGTCAGGTCGCTGACAGACGTCGGTGGCTGCTGGGCCACAACCATCCCTGAACACTGGGAGTCCTGATGCCTTGTATGGTGCTTTGCACTTCCACTCATCGGGGGAATTTGAGACAAAAATTTCTATTGAACATTTCCTAAAAAGCACAAGTCCAAGATCAGCGGTTGATGATGGACCTGAAAAAAAAAAGATGAGGACTCACTAAAGAGGTCGGGGTTGAATGTCTCGACTTAAAACTTAAAAATGTCAATGTCATGGTGGGGAAAGGACAAATCCCCAGAATCAGGATTCATCATCTGATCATTTATGTGTGAAACTAATTTCAGAAGAATGAATCAAATGTTTGTTAAAAGCCAAAAGTGATGAACGGGCTCGTAAACAGCAAATAATCAAACAAAACATTTAATGCAGGTCGTGTTGAAATCTTTTGGACAAGCAAAACATGTTTTTATGATTTCAAATTGCTTTACTTAACTAAAAAGTGTGTGTGTGTGGGGGGGGGGATTAAGTGAATCAGATGTTTCATGCACCAGAACCTCCTGGACCTCCACTGAGCTTCCGTCCGTTCTCCTTCACGGACACTGATTCTTCGAGGAAGCAGTTCGGCTTCACAACTGTTCCTGTAAGAAACATCTGAAAGTGATGAAGAGCCTCCACAAGCTTCTGTGGTGAATAACTGATTCGTATCACTTGTTAGGTTTCCAGGTGCAGCAGTGGAATGAAGAAAAAAAAAATGTGAGTGTCTGAAGAACGAGACGTGGCTGAGGAGGGAGCCAGATTTTTCACACCCAGACTGAACTCATCCAGATCCCACCCGGGCTTCAGTGGGTCGTACGGAGGAGAGCTCACCTCCTCTGAGCTGGAGAGCAGCATGGAAACAGAGGGAGGGCTTCTCCAGTAAGACTAAATATTCCCTCCTGAGGGGACGACACACGGGTCAGGAGCATCTTCAGGAATGTGATCTCAGCTCTGGACTCCACTGTTTCTATATTTAAGACGAGGAAGCAGAAGGGACCTGCTGATGCTTCCTCTTCTTCATCCCTCTGATGATGAGGAGGTCAGGGTCAAAGTCAGAGGCCTGAGATGTTGAGTGTGTGTTCTCCTCCTCACGATATCCTTCCTTGACAACCAGGAAGAGGAAACATCCAGAAACACTTTGATAAACTGACTCCATGACCGAGCACTTGGGAATGTGAAGGGAGGAACTGATTAGACTGAACGTCTGGTCTGAACGTCCATACGCTCGGTTTTCTGATGGGAACCAATGAGCTGCAATTCATCTCTGACGGCCCCTCCATGGCTTTTTTTTTCTTTTCCACCAGTCTTACGCATGAGGAATCAAACGAGAAGCGTTCCAGCACATTTCATGCAGAAAACAACTGCCTGTGTTAGCGTTTCCCTGATCACCTCCCAAACCAGAGTTTCCACATGAGGCTTCATTTACCAAATATAAATAATCAGGTTTTAATAAACTCCATCTTGGTTTTAAAGACCGAGAACCACAAGAACATAAAAAGTTCTTCCACAGTCTATTTACAAGTTGGATGTTTGGATTGAAGAAACTAAACTTTATTCTAAGGTTCTGTTGAGCTTCTCTTACTGAGAACACCGTGATGAACACCGTGACTCATATTTTAACAAAAGCAAAAATAAATCTGATGGTTCCAGTCGGAAAAAAAACTGTTTAATAAACGACATTAATATAATAACAAAAAAGAGTTTGGCATTTCAAAATAAAACTCAGATTAAAAGGGAAAGTGACTTTAAAACATTATTGAAAAGTTTTTTTTGCACCAAAAAAGCATAAAAATCAAAGCTGAATTGAAAAAACTAACATTCTCATCATTAATCTTAAAATCGTAATAAAAACACTGAAAAAAAATTGTGAGGTTTTGTTTGAAATGTTTACTTTTTACGGGTTTTTTTTAAATAAACATTTTTAGATTTTTTTAAATGGTAATACACCTTGACTTGAATACAAAGTGCATGGTTACAAGCTGACTAAGTGTTCTGTATCTGAATCAGTGAAACTGTTTTAACGAATGGCACTGTTCCAAATCCACTCATCATTTTAACATTTAAACCACGTTAGTGTTGCCAGGAATCAGATGATGGTTGGTTGGATAATCTGGATGATTGTTATCTCCACCAAGGAGCTTTTGTTTTCAACGTGTTTGTCCGCAGGATTATGCAAAAACTACTAAACTGAATACCATTGAATTTTGTGGCGGGGCGACTTCTAGATGTTTGACATTTTCCACCCAGAGTTAAATCCTCCTGGAGACTGGGCTCCGTAGAGACGGAGACAGACTGCAGCAGCAGCTGCTAAGTGCAGAAAATGTAAACCAGTCTAAACGTATGGGATTAGAGAGACTCCCTCTACACACGCCTGCTGGAATATCCACTCAAATAAACACACACATGCTCCAGTGTCCAATATATATCATTTTATTGTACGCACTGAAAATTATACAATTGGAGTATGTAAAATATTCCCTGTGTGGGAAACACGGAGCCGGCACAGGAGAAAGAAACGTGTAAAAGAGGAAGTGAAGCAGGGAGGTGGTGAACTAGATGGATGAATGGAGGAGAGACTCTGGACCAACATGCTGAGATCTCACCTCTTCTGATGCCTGAGGAGAGAAAGAAAACACATTTTATTTGATTTGAATAATATTCATGACTAAAGAAAAGTATTTACAGAAGTATACTCCTTGTTTGTTTGTGTTCGGACACATGAAGCTTTTATAAACATCAAGTCGGAGCGATTTCATTAACACGTCCCTCGTCCTAATCCTGCGAGGGTGTAATTTACACTTGAGCTGGATGGAACTTATAAAACCTTTTAAAACCTTTGTGACTTTTCTCCCTCTCTCAGTTTCCACTTGATTTACTCACTAAACTGTTCTGTCAATCCACCAAGTTTCAAAAGGAGAATCTGAGTCACTTTCACTTATTGCGCCCTGATTAAGCTTTAGATGGAGAAGTGAGTGATTTACAAATCAACAGTTAAAGATAATGCTTTAAAAGTCAGAAATAAAACACTGATAATTAGAAAATGTAGTTTTGTCAAACATTTGTATAAAGCTTTATATAATACCACTGATCAAAAGTCTTCAGAAAATTGTGTTAATCCAGCTGGTTCAGCAGTTTGATTGGTACTTTGTACACTCACATTTTGATGCAAAGCACGATACACACTTTAATAATAATAATATATGTGTTTTACCAGTGATACAAAGTAGAAAGTGTGTGGTGTGTACCATGACTGTGCTGTAATAAAACTGAGTTCAAGGTCACTGTGACAGCAGAGTTTTGTGTTCAGGGCATCGAACCTGTGACCGGGCTGTGCTGCCAAACTCATCCTGACAATGACCCGTTTCACTGCTGAATCTGTCACACAGCACTTGAACTTCATAAAGCGATGACATATTATGCTCTGAGGCCCTAATTTGGTCATTGACACCTCATCGGTCCCATCACATGCCGCAGCGAGCTCCTACATGGGAGGTGCGCTGCGGCCAATCCAACACAAACACGATAAGCAGCCAGGATTCATTAAGCGTACGCAGACAGGAGGTTTTCTCCGTGCGCTGGCGTTTGGAGATGGCAGCCGTGTTTACATTCCTCCGTCAGTGACGGGTGAAACTGGGTTAGGCTCGGAAACAACGGCACAGAGCTGTATTGTGCGTTATCTCATGGTTCTACTTCCTTTGAAAGAGAACTGACTGCTTCATGGCGTTTACGCTGGAGAACTGTGACAGAGGATTACAGAACATTTACTGTACAGTCACTCTGTGAGCAGCCATGTAATCTTATGTCTGTCCACTTTGTTATTTTAGAGACTCCAAACCAGAGACACAGCCGCACGTGGAAAACACAACCAGCGTGGTGAACATCAGCGACACGTCGAGCTGCTGAAGTTATGAATGAACAACAAGAGCTCAGGAACGATTTCTGTGAACGTACCTTTGCTGTGACAAGATTTCTACTCGTCAATGTACTCGAAGGGCTCGGGGGGCTCGGGCTCCTGCTCCTCCTCCTCGATTTTTGGGCCGTGGGCTGAGACGGGCTCTACCAGCTCCTCCTCCTCCTCGCTGGTGTCTTTCATGATGATGATGCCTCCTGTATGGAGCTGGTGACAGATGTGGACAATGACCAATAAGTGTGGAACAAAAGAGTTGGATTCTACCAGAGAGGCTGATGTATTATGTTGATTAAAGAGTCAGGAACTGGCGGCTTGGCAGACCTGTGTGTCATAAGTGTTGAGTGCACTTATTGTAAGTAGCTTTAGATAAAAGCGTCAGCTAAATGATATGTATATTTCTGAATACGCAAGTAAGTAAAAAAATATGAAATACAGATGAAAATATAGGATGTGTGAGGGTTAAACATGTGTTTTCTGTTCTGAGTATAAAAACAATTTGAGAAGTCATTCAGCTCCAGTGAATAATCAAACACAGGAAACTTCATATTAATTTAATAGGCTTTCAATAAACCTCCTGACATTGACCAGATTTCAAGATAAATATGTAAAACCTCTTCAATCCCTAAACGCGCCTTTGAGAGTAAAAACAAAGCCTTAAAAGGAAGGAGGCATTACAAAACTAAAGTCCAGCAAAGACAGTATTTTGGCATCTGATCCGATAAGTCAATACAATGTAATACTCTTGAGCATAGCTAACTAGACACGAAATCAAACAGTACTTCCTCTCTACAGGACGGAGGTGAGCTCTCATTGGGTGAGCGCACTTCGTCCTGTCATTTACTGCGGAAAACTGTCAACATTTACTGCAGAGTAGCAGTCGCCTGGTTTACAGCCCTGACACAGAAGCCAAACACCAACCAACGGATCTGATTGATTTAGTTAGAAGGGAAAACTCCTCTGAGATAATGTTCCATTGTTAAATATCATCCAATTCATGTGACGTACTGTCCAGAGGTTTTAAATGTAATTCTGGTGCCTCCCCAGAATTCTCATGTAATGGTGCTATTAATAATAAAAGGATTAGTGAAAAGTAGTGAGGAGTTAAATAAGTGCTTTAAAATCTTATTGTAAAATGTTGCAATCGCAGTTCTAAAGGGAAATACCAGAACAATCTATTCTATTTTATATTTTGACTGTAACCGTCTCTTATGAATGAGTTGTGAATCCTTTCATCTGGAGAAACAGACACAGAGGGGCGAGCTGTAGTTACCGGTTTGAAGGGCTGGTACCGGCAGGTCTCAGGCATGTTGAGGACTTTGAGCTGAGCTGGCATCGCTCTGGCCGGATTCTCCAGGAGCTGGAAATTTGGCTCTGCCTCCTTCTTCTTCTCTTTCTCCTTCTCTTCATCCTTCTTCTCCTTCTCGCCTTCCTGGACCTCCTGCGACAGACAATCAGCACGTGACTTCTACATCAGGGCTTCTGTCGTCTTCACGTTAGGTTTTTTTAAATCATATTTCTGTTCTGCTTCTGTTGACTCTTTGAAAGAATTGTATAATTTGCAGTGCGTGCAAATTGAGAATCATCTTCCACTGATGAGTTTACATCACCATACTCAAATCACAATGATGATCTCTTTTTCTTGTACATATTTTGACATTATTTGACAGTTTGCAGGATTTATAGTTAGTAAATCCTGGTTTTCCTGTTCTATCCGGTGATTTGTTGGGCTCTTATGTCGACACTGAAAAAGCCATTAACAAGACAATGGAGGAGAGAAAGTAACAAGGGAGGTGGAAAAATAAAAAAGGTTTTGTGTTTCAGGACCGAACAACATCATCCCCTGCAAATGTTCTGTCTTTTCTGCCCTGACTCAAGTTTCTAATCGGAGGCTTCAAACGGGACTATTGAACCATATAAAGCCACAGTAAGAGTGTGTGTGTCAGTTTGAGTGTTTGGCTTTTTATTATCAGCATCAGCTCCATTTCTATTAAGGGTGTAAAGTACCAGTTATCCTTTGTGCTGCTACATATTATATAGCACATTTTGTAATCAATGTGCAATATCTAATTTAATCATATTATATAAAACATATATTCTTCAATATACCTTTCTTTGTTTTCCTTGTTGAGTTAAATTTTAATCCTTTTCAATGTACTAAACATTTTATTGTTGATTAAGCAAATGTAGGAATAAAAGAGGGAGTAAAAGAGAAATGTACAAATCAAATTCTGCTCAATAAAAGTATCGGTCCTCAGTTTGAGCGGACCTCTCCCCTTCAGCTGCGTTCTCAATGACTTAAAACCAAATACAAATGAAAAACCGGAGATGTGAGCAGGCCTGACGTTTCCAGGCTCGTCTCTCAGCACAAGAGCTGAGACGTAGCGTGGCAGACAACATCAAACACTCTGCCAGCGCCCAGAAAAAATCCCAATGAAAGCTATACTGGCTCTGGACTGACTGCACTGGGCATGGGGGAGTCAAACTAAAGCCAGACTGAGAGAGAAGAATTAAAAAGAGGTGTGTTAAAAAGACTGACTGTAGAACTGCATGGAGAAACCATTTAGAATTTAGATAATTGTGATTTTATCTGAATACCTGTGCATTCAAAGGGATTATTTTGCAGTCGAGAAAAGGAACATGCTGGGAAAACATTGCTGCTCAACACTTAGATTAATGAATTTGAATGACTTTAAAATGTTGACATGTTCACTTGAATTCAGATCTTTCTAAATGGAATGAAAGAAATAAAACAGGATTATTCTGAGAGAGGACAGGGGATTGAGTTTTGTGCATTTCCACTCACCACTTCCATCTTCTCCTCCTCCTTTTCTTTTCTTTCCTTTTCCTTTTTCTTGGCTTTGGCCGTGATGGAGAGAACAGCCGTGGATACCTGCCATGCAGAGAGAGCAGAGATGTTTCCACAGTGTAAAACAATACCACTGACACTCAGACCTTCTACAAACACAGCTTGAACTGTACAAAACTAGTCAACCACAAAAGAAACGCTGCTCTCAGTACTTTCTTCTAGAGCATTAAGGATTAAGACATTAATCAACTGAGGTCGTAGAAGCCTAAACAATAAACGTAATGGGGAGAACAAAATGATGAGTCTGACTGGGAGGGTTCAAAATTATTCACAATTCAAAATGAAAAGATATCAACTTTCCTTGACATATAATTTCAGTCAGTGGTAAAGAAAACAAGCTGATGTGTTGTGGCGCCTCAGTTCTCACCTTCTCCTTCTCTTTCTCCTTTGGAACTTCCAGGGCTGGTGGGTAGGCGAAGGTGGAGGGCTTACAGTTGGAGCGGTACTGCACCTTGGGCATCTGAAAAAGACGACAAAAGATGTTCACTTTTTTGATGTATTAACATCACCTGGTGTCACTCCCAAGGTGAGTTTTAGCTGTTGTTGTTCTAACACTGTATTCAGAAGAGAAATATCTCAACTATTTTATAAATTGCTGTGAGATTTTGTAAAGACACACAAGAGAATAAATTCTGATGACTTTAATGATCCTCTGGTTTTAGAAATATCTAAACTTGGATGTTTTCATGGTTTAAATTCTGCTCAACAGGAAGACGTTAAGAATGATTTTCAACTAATCCTCTTAAAAAAAAAAAAGTTTGCTCTGTTCTTTGTAGAAGAAAATATCACATCACAACCTGTTCTATTATATTCCGTATAATTTGGTAGTTTAAAATTCAATTATCAAATTTCACTGTCTTCCGGGCACATTGTTTTTTTTTGTTTGTTTAACTCTACTAATAAAACTGATGCATACAGATGCTTTCACGTTCATCAGTATGGTCTGATCTAGGGTTTGCTGTCTCTTTCTTAAACTGTCCAACAGGTTTGGTCTTCATCGTGACACAAGAGTTTTTACTGCTAGACCAACAAGCCAAAACAGGTGACAATGCTTTTGTTCCAATAGCTGCAACCTTATGTTTAAATGAAGAAGGTTCCTGTCAACTCTACTGAGACAAACATAATCTGAAGGCTGACACTAAACAGAAGGCACCTGGTGCTGCTGTGGCTGGAGATTATCGTTCATAACACTCACTGAAAGTAAATGATTGAAACCATCTCTGTTCTAGGAGAGAAGCATAATGTGAGACAAAGAAGGGGACATTTTATTTTATATCACCTCTCACTTCAGCCGTTTCACTACATTATGGAGGCTGAGTGGCAGTGAATGGATTTTCTTGTATGGCAAGAGTCTGGAAGCTAAGATACATGATTGCTCCTGAAAAAGAACAAGTGCTAAATGACGAGGATGTTCTTTGTCTTGGGGCGACAGGTACGTCTGTGAAGACTCGTGCTGTGTCGTTAAACAGGTGCTGACGAGTGTTGGCTGGATGCAACACAGGGTCTGTTAAACTCTGCTGCCCCAACACCACCCCAACCTCCAACCCTCCCGCTGCACTCTATCCCTGGTCTATTTACGAGGTGCTTCACACCAATTATAATTTCCAGTGCTTGGTTAAGCTGGGGATGAATAATTCACTAAAGTCTGCATGTGTTCATGTGTCATGTGCTGCTGATTTGAGTAGCAATGCAGAGATAATATCCAGCTAATGCCAGTTTAAGACCCCAATATGTCACAATGATCCCTTGGCATCAGTGTGCAAGTGGCAGAGGGCCAGAGCAGACCTACATTCAGGACGGCCTTGTTACAGATAGGCTGCTGCTGATGACACTTGTTACCAAGAGAAGAGTCTAAATATTTTCTGCATCAAATGCAGCACAAAACACATTATCAGACAAATGTAGCAGCCATACTTTCAGGTTAATTGAGGTTTGACATTCGCAGATCCAAACAAAGGGGTAGAACCCATCACTTTGTAAAAATGCTAAGTTTTTTTCAGGATCCCCTGCTATGTTCACACATCCATTTCTTCTGGATTTCTATGGAAATTATTATTATATTATTAGTGAGTGCGATCTGGAGGGGGCTTTTAACGACAACAGCTAGTTTACTCAGACATTTTGTCACCGTGAGTGTGATATTTTGAAGCTCTAAAAATAAAAACGATCTCATGTTTTACAGTTGCTTTTACAAATACAAATATTTTTTCTGAAAGACGTATAATTTTATCAAAATAAAAGACACTCCAGTACCTTGAGGTCCTTGTTAAGGCCGATTATAGCAGTTGGTGTGAAGGCCAATGACAGGAAGTGGGAGAGGGGGAACCAGAACCAGAACTGGGTGAAGACCAGCAGGCCGACCACCGACGGCATGTGAGTGTGACCGGTCCTGGACTGCAGAGAGATGGTGACGTTACGTCCACCTGGACAGAAAAAGGGCAGGAAGGTTAGAGAGAGTTTTGACATGATGTGACAGATCTATGTGAATTAGGTCAAAGCAGAAACCTCAATATAATGCATGCGGCTCAGTTGAGGACCATTGTTTGGTGATATATGAGCAGTAGGTGAAATCGTTGTGACACTCATGGATGATTGTGAAAAAAACTGTTTGCAGTTTGGCACAAGAATCATGTGATGAGGGATTTGGAGGTTAATGAGATTTCAGGGCAGGATGGTCACCACCCTGTCTTTTGGCTTCAACTTGTCTGATATATTGATCCCAAGGCAGAAGTTAAACTTCAGACATGTTTTGGTGAGCCAGTTAAACCCAGGAATGCATTGTCTACAACATCCTGCTTTTAAATTTAAAAAGAAATCTAATAATATGAGGATTTGAGCTGCAAAGGAGATTAATAACTGATCTATATCACAAGAGGTGTGTCAGCTGTCCCAAAAATAACAGATGGCTTTCACAGCTGTGGTGAAGAGGTTACAGAATATATAGAGCTCAGATTTACTTTAAACAAAGTTAACTTTTTTTAACTAAGCATACAAGAGACCTGGCATCATATACATTTTCTGGAAGAAATCCTATAGAGAGTGCGATGATACATTCAACTGTATGGTGATACAATTTTAAGACTTCAATTTATAGTATTGTGTTACACTCAGAGGTGTTTCAGGAGTCATGAGCACTTTTATTTATATCAATGAGAAAAACGGGAGTTTTAGGTATAGCTTATAAACTGCCAACTGCATGTATTATTCATGCAACAAAAGTGAAGAAGAAAAACTATCAAAAAATAGCTTGCACTCATATCTTATTCCACAAAAAGAACCTTTGGGATAACAGTGTTTCAGGATATTGATGTTGGATTACGATTTTGTTAATAATTGTACCAAATAAGTTAAAGGGCAGAAAATACAGTATCTTGTAAGACTTGAATGTGTATGTTAGGATGTTTCTGTTCCACAAGGAAATGTGTGCTCAACCAAATAAAAACCTGGGTAAATGTATCCATGACAGTGGACCTGACTAAAAAGATGGATAAAGCAGGGTCAAGTGTACATCTTGAAGCAGGACAAAAGAAGAACAGACCTCCCTTGGTCTTTCTGGAAAAAAATCAGAAGGGAGGAAGCATAAAGGGAAGACAGATGGAGGAGAAGGAAGAGAAGATCAGCAGCAACTACAATGAATCTGTCATTTCTTTAAAAAATGTATTTAAGAAGAGGCACGTTACGAGGGAGTAGCCATTCTAACTCAGCCAAAACAATACCAGTTTAATCATCTGCCATTGTCTTGCTTTGCACCCTCTTCTCTGAGGTCACTGGGATGATTTAATAACTGAGCCTTATCTTGACATCTGAACCAGTGTTCAAAGCATTCCCCTCCCACACACTCAACATTGGCCAGAATGAGTCATGAACTCTGCTCGCTGGACGAAAAACTTAAAAAGTCTCTTAAAAGTTTGAGGAGAGGTTGAGAGCACTTGACTAGCGGCTCCCCCCCACACCCCCTGTTTTTGCCAACTGTTAGTTCGGTGGTCCAATTTTCATTCCACAGAGCTGGTGAGGGAGGCACCGCAGTGATTCTTCATAAGGTGTAATGTGACAACATCAACAACCAGCCTGTGTGTTGTTTTGTTTCATGCATGTTTCATTTCGATGAGAGAGAAAACACTAATTAGAGCTAATTAATGGATTGTATCAATTATTGAAGGACAAAATGGAGGCTGGATGTGTAATAGTGAGAGAGAGATGGATACAGAGTGTGAGAGAAGGAGCAAAGAGACTCGACATTTCCTTGGTAATTTTCCAGAGATCATGAAACTGCTCTAATGGTTTCCGCCCATCAAATTAAATACAATTACCACTGCAGCTCAAATGCTCCAAACTCCTGTACAAGAGCCAGAATCCTGAAACATTCACACTGCATGAGCATGAGCATGTCTGACATTCAAACAGGAGGGGTGTGTTCCTGGTCGTATGTATTTTAACTGTATGCAACATGCTAAACTTTACTGAAATATGGGCAACACAGAGCCGGTGTTTGGCGTGGTGAGAGTGGGGGGGGGGGCGGAGCAGGGAGCGTGTCTGCATTCTGAAAAATGACACCGGTGGTCAGGGTTTGTCTGGATGGTCTCACGCAGGGTTATCTCGGCATGATGGCCCCCGTTTATTGCAGTTAATGTGGCTGATTTGATATATGATTGAAGTCTGTCCGCCTGTCAAGACGGCTAATCTGCTCAGAACACAACATCAAATTTAATAGTGCTGCAGGAGGGGCAGAGTTAATCAGGAGGCAAATTTAATGAGTGATGAAAAACATTCACGAGTCACATCATTTCAAAAACACATACGCTGCAGTTAACCCTTCCACAGGTGATGCAACTTATAAAGCTGCAACACCTGATAGTGTATTTGGACAGCAGTGTGTAAACAGAGCTGGTTTTCATTTGGCGTAACACACAGGGTCTTAAGATGGTGATAGAAAATGAGTTTCTGCTGCTGCTGACCGCATTGAGGGTTTCTGTATACATTAGAATATGGGTGCGCTCTGGGTGTACGGGAGTGTACAGCGCACCATGTGATGATGTACAGCTCTCTGGGACCCCACACACACAAACACACGCTGCGTGCTTGTGTCCACAAACACCCGCACAGAAACACAAACACAGGGACTATCAGACAAACAGTAATCACACGGGTAAGACCAACAAGCCATGTGGGCTGAGTGCAGAGCGAAGCTGAGGTAGGATCGTCAGGCACTAATGCAACTAAGCATGATCTGTTCCAGAGACTCGGAGCACGGGTGGTCAGCCAAAAAAGGTTACTGTGTGTTTGCTTAAGTGCAAAGGAACTCAAAGACGCACATACTCACAACCACAAACCCAGATTACAGAGCAGTTCACTTGATTTACTGTGTAATTAAGAAATAGTGTTTGTGTATACCCATGAGAAATGAAGGTACAGGGGCAGGTGGGACCATAAATAAGTTTCTCATCTCCTGCTCCTTGACAAACAATGATAAAGCCATACCTACAAGCAGGGATCCATGTGGTTTGTTTCCAGATATTATTATTGTTATTATATTTCCAACCACTAGTCTACAAATCTTGTTCTTCTTGTGCGATTTTGTCAGACTCACCTGCATCGAGGATTCCCTGGGCGAGGATGGCGCCGAACTTGGCCATTACGTCATCGTGCTTGTCGTTGATGACCTTTGAATAAAGCTGCCTGAACTGGTTCACCTGAAATAATGAGGGAAGGGAAAACATGTTAATGTATGTGTGTCGGGGTGGGATATGAGCCAAGGAAGAACCCTATACATTTTGTAGCATATACGCATGAACGGGTATTTTTTATTATTACGATAATAAAAAGCAATCAATCAAAAATTCCCAAAACTTTGCACCTACCTTGGGACAAGTGACTTCAGACTGTTGAATCATGATGAGGGCTGAGGAAATCAGGGCCCCCTGCCTCACATAATTAACTGGGTCATTGGTCATAGGCTCCAGAAGGTTGATGGCCTCCTATGAATGGAAAAGTATAAAAGAAATATCAGTTATGTTAAATAAATTAAATTTCAGTTGAGTAGATTAATTTTTAAGCTGTGTAATCTTTATGGGGCTGCAAAATTTGAAAAAGGTAAGAACTCAAAACACATGATATTTCAAAGAAGCATAAAGTTGGTAAAGAATGACCAAAAGGAAAACAAAAAGGAGATCCACCCACTTGGCATGCAATTTCACATTCTAAGATAGATGAGGTCATTTCCCTGGCCATGTGTGCATTAACTTGGAATTTACTGAAGACAAAAATCTAGAGTGAGTACAGGCTGTAAGTGCCAGACTAGAAAGTATGCAACCTAAAAAACTTCCTGAGGGCAGACAGATGCACATTATCTAAATATAGAAGAAAGCATGTTTTATCAGTGTATCGTCAGTTGGAAAAATATTTGTGGGACAAAGTAGTTAATGATACTTCTGTCATGACAAACAATGATTATAGTAACAAATGGAAATGGTACCCATGGCTTTTTTCATTAGTTTAGTCTGTAGCACAGAATGAACCAAGTTTAAGAACTGGTTGCGATGTTGAAAACCATCATTGGTCGCTAAAGGTAAGTAAAGTAAAGTAAATCCATATTCTCATGCGATAAATTGAGAATGATAGATGTCTTGAGCAGAGCCCAAACGAAATGTCCAGTTGTCCAGTATTATTACCCAATATTAGTCTATCACTTATCAGTGTGTACATTTACCGAAAATGCACCGATCTGAAAACTTATTTAAAAAATACATTTTTAAAGTTATTACATAAAATGCTGAAATGTGTACATTTGTGTTCATATTTTACATATATTTAGTTCATTTATAGTTATCTTTAATATAGTGTATGGTTAAACTGAAATATCAAGCCTCAATGTATTTTTTTTTCTTGCAATGGTTTGAGAGATCTTAGAAATCAGGGCAATTTTTTTTTTTTTAAATATATGCATCAGCTAATATATCATATTGGAAATTCTTTAGTCCCCATTATTGGTATTAGCAGCCAAAAATACATATCGGCTGTTTTGACAATTAAAGACTTGCTCATCCATTTACAAAGTTATTGAAACTTCTGTCTTTAAGTTGTCCGGTTGAAGCAGAAAGAAAACTGACAATTTGTTGTTTTATTTGTTGAGTAGATCAGCACAGCAGGGTCACTTCTGTTTGGTTAAATACGGGAAAGGGGATTATCAACAGAGGCAGCCAGACCAGGAAAATAATGACATTAGTGTCATTCATATCTGGTTGCCTGGGACCACAGTAACAACAGCTATGACGAGCTTTGCCTTCTTCAGTTTCCTCCCATGATCTCTGGTGAATGAACAAGTGAGTGAGGACCACCTACTCTTTTCCTTTAGATTTCTGCTCGTTCCTCTGTTCTTACAGAGCAGTAATGGCTGTAACTCACACCACCAGACTAAGAAGGACGCGTCAGCTCCACCAAGGCAAGAGAAACAAACTAGGATGATGACAGTGGAGGTAAAATAAACCAGGTTTCATCGGTGCTCTAGGCAGAGAACGCCCCATACTGGGATAAGCCTGAGTGTAAAGCCAACAACCAGTCAACCAAATCCTGCTCCTGATTGGCTGTCAGGGGTTTATAATTGAGGGTATTTACTGTCAGGCCCAATCAGCGCAGATCCTTTTATTTCATGTACAGTTCAGAATTCAGAGTCTGTTTTCTACTATTTTGAGGAGACCGTTGAGACTTCACATTAGTTTTATTCCAATTCTGCTAAGAACTGGCTCAACAACCTTGTAAAAAAACAAAAACACATTTTACTAACACCAATTTTTATACATATTTATAAAACTGTATCATATGACAGTTAACCTGAAAACACTGAAACGATTCTGACGAGTCTGTTTGGAGTTAAACATTAAATTTACGCACATATTTCTTCATCAAACAAACTAAAACTGAACCGTGACTAAGATTTTCAATATGGAAAAGAATCAATATAAACAAACTGACTACAGAAAAGACCAAAGCAGATGTCATGTGCAGCTTTTCTTCTTTTACATATACAACAGATGAAGAACACTAGTCCAGTTAAAATATCGCAAGGCCAAGCTGAATAAATGATGGCGAATGATTATGCTCCCTCTAAATGGGTGACCCATTTCTCTTGCCACATCATCATTACGCTCACTAAGGGCCTAATGTGCTTGAGAAAAACCAAGCAGTGGAGCCTAGGAGCTGATCAGCTCTGTAGTATGCCTTTGTCTGATCTGGTCCAAAGCATTCTCTCTGGTGCTCCGAGGCTCAGGGTGCAATTAGCCATGATTCTACTCTGGCTTTGCCACCTGAGACTGATCAGTCCACATAGTTGGACAACTCAGGAACTGGCAGGACCCAAAACATCTGTCCTCTTAGGTCAACTTTTCAGTCTCCTAACATGATAAGACGCAGTTGAGTACCAATTGAGAGTATTTTATCAGCAAATGTTTCAAGAACTTTCCACAAGCTCCTTTGAGCTGACCCTGAGTCAACAGTAAAAATAAGGAGTAGTTATTATAGACATTAATGAAGATTATGACTGAAGCACTTAAAGACCTAAAGTCTTTGATCAAACTGTGGAAGGGTTTGAAAATTACCTTTAACTACTGTAAGCCAGCTTCAAAAGCAGACGATAGTCATGTGGGTGCATCTGGGAATAATTACAAATCGTTTTTGAGCCACAGTCATTTCATGAAAAAACATTTCTAAAGCTACATTTGTTGAGATGGCTTCATTAAATATGACAAGAGACACGTGACCTTCTTTTCTGAGCTACTTGTGCAGGGGCTACAGTGAGTCTTAACTCAGGAGTAGATAGTCCTCACAGCAGTGTCATAAATTGGTCACTTAACCCTATACTGCAGAATAATCTCTGCATCAGTGACCTACATTTTAAAACAAAAGATTAATGACAGGACACTGAATAAATGAGGACAACAAGGGTAATGCTGATGTTGTGGATGAAAAAAATGCTATCTAAGCTTTTATTGCATACAGCCTTATGAGGATTATCAATTCTACCTAATAAGAGTTTGTTCAAGTGTTGACATCTCATTTAGCAAGTGCTCGCTTTTTATATCTTGTAACTGAGATTACGAACATAAACAGGTTCAAGTCTTTTTGTGTAAAAATTTGACTTGAGGGTTTCCTTATAAAGTTCACCCTAATATATATCATATGTTTAATATGAGCAGGACATCCACAGGCCCTGTTCAGAACCTGGTATTAACATGAATCTTGGGTCAACCAATCACAAGTGGACACATCTAAGTGCGTCAATTCACCCCTGGCATTAGAAATAAAAAGGAAATTAATATGTAGCAGTCAGTGTTAATATTGTGGCAATAATGAAACTGCAGGAGTTCAGAGGATGTTAGCAGAGTAGGTGGTCCTTCAATGAGTCAGCCCTCCCATCCCCACTGGGATTTGTCCCAGTATTGCCAGATGGTCAGTGAGACTACAGCACAAGGACACCACAAATATCTAGGTGTAAGTCTTGAACCATGGCCTTTAAAATTAAAAATGAAGGAGAGGTGGATTAAGACACAGTAGATGGTGGTAATGCACCTTGATGTTGGTTGACACTCGCCAATGAAGCAAACAAAGAAGAAGAAAAAGGGGATTAAGGAAGAGATCCTCACCTTGTTGCCTGTCCCAGCACAGCAGATGCCCAGAGCCATGGCAGCTCCACAGCGAACATGAGGGTTGTAGCTCTCAGACAACAGTGACACCACACTGGGACACTGCTCTGGGGTCCTGAAGAGAGACAAAGAGAAAGACAGAAAAATTAAGACTTAATGATTGAAATGAAGCAAAGAGCATGAGCCACATGAATCATGATCAGTTGATGGGGATTGTTTGGTCAGTCTGTTGTTATCAGTTATCCATGTTTGAGAGGAACCATATGAGAAAGGTAGAGAAAATCAAATGTTTCTGGGATAAAACTAGACAAAGTGCAGAGAAAGCGAAAGAGTAGATATGAAATGCAGAGCTTTGATTTCTGTCTGAACATTCACCAAGTCCTTACGTCTCCAAGTGGTGCCATTGTTGAATAAAGATAATTGAAATAACTGAGCCAAACAGTGCAGGCCAAATCTTTGGCTTTGCACAGAACTGCTAATTCTGTCACTCTGATTTTTTTCCCC